GCATAATTATATAAGGCATAATTCCACTTGTTGATAGATTTTCTCTCATGCTAACTCTTTAAGAATATGTGGCTCCTTTCGTTTGCTCTGCTAGGGTTTCCGCCGCCTCTCTGCTGCGATGAGGTTTGACGTTTTGAAGGTTGTTCTCCTCCTTAGATCACCAGGTATTTTAGTAATTGTGTTTTTTACTCATGGCATCCGCTCGCCTTCGTGATCCCGGATTTCTAAGTGGGGCTGCTGCGTCTCTTTCGTTTAAGGATGCTTTATCTGGTATTTCTTCTTCCTTTCCTGAGTTAAGCGTTTCTTCTCATCGTGGTTTGCCAGCTTTGTTGATTTCTAAGGAAGAGGTTCGGTTGCTTGCTGCACCCTTTGAATTTTCTTTGGTTGGCCGATTTCTGGTTAGGCGACCTTCTGTCGATGCCATTCGTAACTTCTGCTTTAATTTAAAGCTGTTAGGGGCATTTTCGGTCATTGTTCTTAATCACAGGAATGTTTTGATTAAACTAGTGAACGACTTTGATTATTGCCGTATTTTTTTACATAGATCTTATTTTGTTCAAAATTATTATATGAAAGTGGTGAAATGGTCTCCCAATTTGGATGTTGAGGTGGATTCTCCTATTGTGCCTATCTGGGTGTCATTCCCCCTTCTTAGGCCTCATCTCTTTTCTCCTAGGATCCTTTTCAGTCTAGGTTCTCTATTTGGTCGCCCTCTCAAGTCGGATATGACGACTGCGTCGGGTTTCCGTCCGTCCATGGCTCGTATTCTGGTTGAATTGGATGTTACAAAGAAATATCCTGATAAAATTTGGGTTGGTTCTGTGTAAACGGGTTATGTTTAAACTATTACATTTGATGATATTCCTCTTTTCTGCATGCATTGTCATTCCTTAGGTCATTCTAAGGATTTCTGCCCTATTTTACACCCTACTGCTAAACTTGTGGTTGCCCCGTGTGGGAAGTTGAATGTGCCTGTTGATATCTCTAAGGAGGATAATGTTGTGTTGGATGTTGTTGCTACTGTGTTGTCTCAAAATTCCTTACCATTTGTTCCCCCTGTTTTGGATTTGGGCCCTTTCGTGCCTAATAGTTCTGCGGTTTTGCCTCCTCTGGCTTCAGGTTCTATGCAGGTTAATGAGATTTTGTTGCCTGTTGAGTTGGTTGCTCCATCTTCTAGTGTGGTGGTCCTTGTTGTACATGATGAGTTTTTGACTGAGCCTCCTAATACTCCAGCTATTTTGCCTCTGGCTGTGGATAATTGTTCGAATGTTGGGGTTGTTTCGCACCCCTTTATTACTTCTGCTGGTGTTAATGTTACCAATGATGTGGATATTTACATTGTTGTGGCTATGGTTGATGTTTCGGCAACTCCTTCACCTGGTGTCGAAGCATCGTGTTTACCTATTGTGACTGTGGGTAATATTGCTGAGTGTGTGCGAGTGGTTAATTTGAATGAAAATTCGGAGTGCTCTAACATTTTAGTAGATGTTTCTGTTAATTTGGTCGATACGCATACTATGATCAATCGTTTGGGAGCTAATTCTGGATTTGATATCAGGAATCATATGGATTGGCTGAATGGATCGTCTCAATTTGAATATGAATCCAATTTTTCGGATTTTGGTTTGCCTTCTACGGATATTTGCGGTGGATCTGATCCTGGAAACGACTTTACTTTGGTTCGTGATAGGCCTGTTTTCTCAGTTGCCTCCCGTGAGAGATTTTGTGGGAGGGGATGGAGGAGAAGATAAATTTTCTGTTTGCTGTATTTCTCACTTTGTTTTGGTGGGTTGATTTTTTTTTGGAAAATTGGTTGATTTGGTGGTTCGCTGGTTTATAGGGCAATGATGTGGCTGGGGCTCGTATCCCTATTATCTTGCTGGTGGCAACCATTGGTGAATTTTCAATAATTTGATGCATAAACACATTAATTTTATGATAAATTTAAAATTTAAGGCATTGCTTTTACGAATAGGTTTAAAAATTGAAGTTAACATTATCATTCAGTTTAAATTATGAGTTTGATTGTAGTTATTAAGCAAACAAATATTCTGAGAGCTTACTGTATAGATATTTCATTAACGGAGAGTTTGGATCATCCTTAGCAGGATCGTCTTAAAAAATATTGAATAGCCAATATAAAATATTAATAACCATAATCCAAGTAATTGAATCGAAGCTTGAATTCAAATAAAATTACATTAACATGTCAATCCAAATTAAAAAAAAAATAAAAAATCAAACTAAATGTAAAGAATATCAAATTAAATAAACAAAAATTAAATTGATCCAGTCATATTAAAATCACCAACCATAATAGAATAATAAATTACACAAGTATCAGAAAAATCACTAAAAATATTAGAAATTTTTTAAAAAAAATCTTAAATAAATTTTTATAAAACTTATAAAATCTTAATGAACAATTAAATAAATAAATAATTCAATTAGCATCTCTTTTTCACTGCAAAATGAAACAAATTTCTTAATTGATCAAAAAATTTGAAAATTAATTAAAATTTCAAGAAAAGATAGAAAAATATGAAATGAATTCCTTTGAATTCATAAAATTATTAAGAATAATAGTTTATCTCAAGCGAGGCAATTTTAAGTCAAAAATAAAATCCCCCTATATAGGCTTCTAAAGGGACCAAATAAAAATAATGCAAAATATTGAAATTTCATTGTCGACTACAACTAATCCGACCGTCGTTGATCTACTATTATCCTTTGACCTCGGATGCTTGACCTTGACCCTTCACTACTCTCCCAATTGTGGAGTACATCCCCCTTCTAACCTTCGTAGCCCAACAACTATAGTCGTCCAAACCCTCAATCACCTGAATACGATACTTCTGACCTTCATTAATGATTGAGTATTATTCTTTAATCTTTGTCGCACAACTACATTCCTTCTAACATATATCACCCATCGATTACCATACTTCTAACAACTATTGACCCACTACAATCCTTCGACCTCAATTGCTTGACCACGGTTCTTTAAATCTTCATCACCTATCTACTACAATCCTTCTAACATTTGTCACCTGCGACCTATTATAATTTGACCTTAATCGCTAGACTAAATTCTTTCCAACCTCCGTCACCCACCGACACTTTGGTCTTTTTCACCTCCGTCCTATGATTTGAGCTAATTTTTGGTTTTGTGTCAAGAATCTAAGTCATTATCCTTGAAGTTAAAGTAGTGAGTAGATATAAGTGATGGCAAGAAGGACATGATGATAGTTGAGGAGAGATCAAACTAAGATATTCTTGAAGTGATTAAGACTACAGTTGTTATGATCGCTATAATTCTAATAACCAAAATCAAGTGGATTAGAGATGATTTAGAAAAGAATAAATAATATGAGTTTTTTGTTGATGGCAAAAGGGGAAGTTAATAAAAGTCATTATTTATACCCCCAATAATTTAGATAATGGCAACCAACTCAAAACTAAGACCATATATAACTTCATTTCTGTTCAAACTTAGCTAAGTGAATACAAAGTTTCACTTCCAAACAACTAATGTTGAAGCATGACTTTTAAGATCACTATCGATGTCAAAATTGACTCCTAATGTCACCGCCAAAATCAAAGCCTATCATCAACACCAACACGATGGCTACCATCATCACCAATGCCAACTCTCATCATTGCTAATAAGGTCGATGCCCTGATGAAGCTAAACAATGTTAATGCCGCCCTCCCCTTAACACCAACTTTATTGACTAAAAACTCCACAAATGCCAATGACATTAATAAGACCTACGATTTATATTGCCAATAAGATTATATCGAGTGGCTTATACTAAATAACCATTAGTGAATGTTGCTTTTGGTCCTTTGGATGATAAAACCAAACATACAACTAGTAACTGCTCGGTAAGCTGAGGTAATAGAAGTAGCAAAGTGCCTTCTTCAATTCCATTATTAAACGCAGTAACAAAGTGGCTAAAATCACATGAAAAGAAGACCTTTTAACAAAGAAAGAATGAAAACAACAAAAATGACTTATTAATTTAGATAGAAAACATGAAATCAAAGAAGAAGTCTACTTCGGTAAATTCAACACAGTGAAGAAGAAATTTTAGAGCATGAATAATATTCTAATTAATTTGCCCATACTCAATATATTACAACATATTATTACACCGCTATCTAAAGAGGGATTCTAATCCACCGCTGCTTGTTCGGGTGGTGAAGAGCCGGCTGGGCAAAGCTTAGGTCCCTAATTCTAATCCTTTAGCAAGTAGAGAAAGCCTTAAGTGTTGGCACGTATAAATTGGTGTGAGTTGCATGCTAGGTCGACCGGGGTTTTTACTGGCTTAAGGATAGTGCTTCCTCGTCACAAAAAAAAGTACCCACCGTTGCTTGTCCGGGTGGTGAAGAGCCGGCTGGGCAAAGCCTAGGTCCCTGGTTCGAATCCCTTGGCAAGCGGTGAAAGCCTTAAGTGTTGGCCCGTGTAAATTGGTGTGGGTTGCATGCTAAGTTGACCAGGGTTTTCACTGGCCTAAGGACAGTGCTTACTCGTCACAAAAAAAAAATGAGGAATTCTAGTTTGACAAAGCACCATAGAAATTTGATCAAATAAAAAAAAATCCTCTTATACCGAAGAAAAATATGATCAAAATTGTAGATAGAAGAGAAACCTATAGATCGTGCATAAAAAAAATGGTGTATAAGTATTAATTTATCACATGGGTTTAGGAAAATGATATTTTTAGTACCAAATAGGTTTTATGACCTCATAAATCTATTTTAAGACACTAATTAAAAATACCATAATATTATTGAAGCAAAACAATTTTTTTTTTTTTGTGGTGATCGACCAATGATTGAACCCTAAACCATCACCACAAATGTTAACACCCACAGTAGATATATTTTGCCTTTTGACACAGCACCTTAGAAAATTGATCAAAACAAATTGAATAATTATTTTACAACGATTTAATTTTAAAATGCTTATTTTAGGAAGGAGGGAATGTACAAACCAGTTGTAGTGTTATGGATCCCATTCCAATTGCTCTTCAAAGGCCACATGTGCTACTAAATCCAAAAGGCGACCATGCTGATCCTGCAAACAAAATGAGCCTAAAGATCTTCAGAAAATATATAAGAAATGATCTGAGATAGAGATGAAGATAGAGAGAGTGTGAGAAAGTTTAATTAATGGAACTATATTTTGAGTTGGAATGATACATTGCACGTACCTTATCTCCATAGGTGAAACCATGCCATTGGCACCACTCTTCCATCATTGGACAGTTAATTACATATGCCATATCTTTTTTACATGAAAGACTTGTATGAGAATGGTGGTTGCATTCATCTTGATGATGGTGGAGCAGGTAGCAATGACATAATTTTAAATTTTTAAGAGTACCAAGAAGATTATTCAAGCCTTTCACTGATTTGAGAAGACGACAATTAGTTATTATCACTTTCTGAAGTCCTAAAAGAGGTCCGAAGCTATCATGAAGAGCCATATATTCAAGTTCGTCGCAGGATTGCACCTCAAATTCCACAAGATTTGATGGGAGGGTTGATATTAGCTCAAGATTTTGGCAGTGAAATATACGTAAATGTTTAAGGCTTGAGAAATATCCATTCTTCTCAGTTGGCCACTCTTTCCATTCATGCATACCTTTATTTTTCAAATATTCAAAGGAATGAAAGTCCACATGTACATCCGTAGAATAATTCTCATGACCATTAGAAGGGACATTATGATACCAAAAATCTTGCCCCATTCTCCATATCCCCTCAATATTGGTTATTTCAAGTGATCTAAGAGATGGTAAACCGGATAGAGGGAAGAACCTCCATTCTTCGTTGTTATTGAAATCTATCAATCTTACTTTCGCCAAATTGGAAAAGTGAGGATTTCCAAACCAAGTTGGGAAGTTGTTACCACTATAGCCATGTATGGTCAACTCTTCAAGGTTGGTGTGGGGTTGGAGGTTATCAAGAATAGCTTTTTCTCGCTTGTTGCATTCATCATCTACCTTATTATTTCTCCAGGATAGTGTTAAGCTCTTGATGTGAGGCTTGCTATGCAAATTTGCACTCTTCGCATCTTCAGGACTAACCACATTCTGAAGCCCATAAATATTTAGACTTCCTCGCACATTTATCAAAGGTTTCAGCCATCCAATGCAAGAATGTTGGCCATCTCTTCTTGAGTAATAGTGAGGTAGATTCAAATGACTTTTTAAGTTCTCCATATCATAAGAAATGACATCCTTATGAAAGAAATCAATAATCAAAGTTAAGAGATTTTGAAGTTGGCCGATTGATTTTGGTAACATTTCTATATCATGACAATGTATCACCAGGTGACGTAGGTTGATGAGTTTTTCAATTGCACTAGGTAGCATATTTAAATAAAATGATCCGAGTTGTAGTGTTTGCAACTTATAAAGACTGCATAATGAGTACTCTGCTAGTTGGATTGTTCGTGCATGAATAAAGAGGTAACGAAGCTGCCTCAAGTTACCTATCAAATCTGTAAATTGAATATTGCATTCAAATTCAGGTGCATCAAATACCAAAACACGCAAGCATCCCAAACTAGATAATGACTCCTTAATAAATGTACATGGATAAAGCTTGATGGAAGAAGAATAAGGAAATGGTCCAACATTATAAAATGTTCTTATAGCCCCAAACAAAAGAGCACGATCTACCATAACATGCTGTATAAAAATATGCTTTGCTTTTTCATTGATGTTCTTCATTTCATCAAAATTTAACAAAGAACATGTCTCATTTCTAGTTATAGATCTTGCTAAATCATGCACCATATCATGCAAAGTGAACAACTTATCATATTTTGTGCATTGAAAGAAAGATCTTCTCACCAAGTCTTCAAAGAATTCAAATGCAATATCTTCCAATAATCTTTTTGTTCCCATAAGTTGAATGTAACCTTGCGCTATCCACATTCTTGTCAATTCTACTTGTGTAAAATAGTGACCCTTTGGGAACAAAGATGCATAAAGAAAGCATGGTTTAAGATACGTTGGTAAGTGATTGTAGCTTATCCTTAGCGCTGGTAAAATAAGATCTTTGGCCCTCTCCAACTCCCACAGATTATTGCATAACACATCCATCCACACCTGCTCCCTAACTTCGTATCGTAGAAATCCTCCAATCACTTTTAAAGCCAAAGGCAATCTACCACATTTCTTAGTAATTCCTCTCCCAATTTGTTCAAAATTTTGTTGTTGATCAAGTTCCCAACCACAAAAAGCATATCTTTGGAACAATAACCATGATTTCTCTTCATCCAAGCATCCAAGCTCAAATGGAGGAACTGTTTGCATGATACAAGCAACTGACATGGAACGAGTGGTTACGATAATCTTTCCAATTTCATTACCAGAAAAGGGGGCTTGTAAGGCTTCCCACATATGTGGTTTCTCATTCCAGATGTCATCAAGAATAAGTAGAAATCTTTTCTCCGATAGAGCCTCCTTGAGAATGCATTGAAGATCATTCAAGTTGTTATTATCATTGTATCTTGACGAACCCACAATAGATGTTATAATTTCTTTTGTTATTCTCAGAACATCAAATTCTTCGGAGACATAGACCCATATCTTTGGGCTGAAATGTTGGCATACCGTGGGATCATTGTATATAAGTTGAGCCAGTGTCGTCTTTCCAACACCCCCCATGCCAACAATGGGAATTATGGAGTTCTCCCTGTCAGAATGAGACATTAATAATTCAATTATCTTTCTCTTTTCATCTTCCCTTCCAAAAACATTAGAGTCATCCACAAGAGCACTACTCGATGGCCTCTTCAGAACATCATCTAAGCAGGGTCTCCTGGGTGCATCCTCCGTTGTAAGAGCAAGTGCTTTTCTATCATTTGCAATCTCATCAAATTTCTTTATGATGTCAATGATCCTCATGGCCATATCGCAAGAAATGGGAATTTTTATTGAATTGTTGGAAGATAGGGATGGCTGATCATAGTTGCAATGCATGATCAATACGAACCACTTAGTTTCTAATAATTTGAATTTTGGTAGAATTTTGAACAAAAAGACATACCTGGTAGCCATAAATATCATCATTATCATCTTCTTGTTTCATCTTTAGAGAAGTCTTTGTTTCTACTGTTGTTGTCATTTCTTCCACTTGTGTTTCGATTACTTGATAATCATATTGATCTAAGATGTCTTCGACATCATAAGAAACTTCTCTAAGCTCGTAGAGCCAGTGCTGGATTTGCTTGTCACAGACCTCTCTCTCTTCTGCGTCATGAAGCAATGCCTGAATTCTTTGCAGCATCCTTGATAATCGGCTCAAATCCATCATTAATCTTTCATGGATTGAATTTACTTCAGCAATTGTTGCATCTTTTCCTAGTATGGATGAGGAGGATGAGACCAGTGAAAAAGAAGGAAGCATAAAATGAGATAATCTTTTCAACGAAGATAATACATTGGAGATGATTGAAGAATTGGTTCCTGCCATTTCCAAACCTTTGCTCAGGAATCGATGAAGCTTCAATGTGTGTTGAAGATAATTCAAAGAAGTGGAAATAATATGAGTTCTGAGTGGTTAGCATGAGCCAAGTCAATTCAGAGGTCTTTCGTTAGACCTCCAATAATGTAGAAAATTAAGCAATTTAAAAGTTGTATAATATTATAAAACAAAAAAGTTACTTCAACTTGCGCATATTGCACAGAACATCCAAAGTTTAGTGGTAGGAAAATGAAATCTTGCTTTGAAATTTTCACCAATAGAACCAATTGGCATCCAATAACTTTAATGGTTAGTGGCGAACAATAAAAGAGAGAGCACAATACATGGCTATAGTTTCTTCCACCCACATGTATTAGTGATACAACTTGTACATAGACAATTATAGAGCATGTTGCGTGGAACATGCAGATGAATGTAATTTGTAGAAAGTAGTGTGACGGAATCTTTGCTTTTATACTTTTAGTGTGTCGTGAAAACATTTTGTACCTTGGTCGAATCATCTTCATCACAAACAAGCTTTGAATAGGCTTCAATGAATGCTCAATGCATCTTTTGATCAAGCACATAATAAGTTTTAAATAAACGTCAAGGCTGGTGCTAGCTAAGCAAATATTATGCATTTAAAAAGATATTTATGAAATATATTTTTGAATAAAAGAGAAGAAATGACCTAATTTAATTCAATTGAGATAGACTTTTATAGTTTTAATTTAAATAATTTAGTGGCCGGCTTTAATGAAAATAAATGTAATACTATACATATACAATTTTAAAATAATAATAATAATAATAATGTATATGCTGAATACATATCACCATTAATAGTATTTGAAAGTTATTAAAAACAAAATAAAATTTATATTAAAAAAGTCAAATAGATAAAAAGTCTTTTCTCCGTATTCACTCAACTTGATACATAAAAAATTAATAAAAGTTTTTTAAAATTACAAAAATATATAATAGTATTTGATTATTATTTGTTAGATTACATATATACACATTAATTGCAATTGAATCGAATGAAAAATTAAATTACGTTAGAAATCAATGAATTAAATGAATAACAATCAAATAAAACAAATAAACTTAAAACATGATTAAATAAAATATAAACCAAACCAATTTAATTCAATCACATTAAAAAACACTATGAAAATTAAATTAAACGAATCTAAGTAAAACATACACATTAAAATTGATTAAAATTAAAAATAAAGCTTAACACCATAAAATTAATGAATTAAAGCTAAATTGAATAATAGTTAACTACTGAATTGCCTACACATTAGAAAAATTCACTAAAAATTCAAAAATATTAAACAAAAATCTCAAATAAGCTTTCATAAATAGAAAAAAGTCATAACAAATTATAAACTAAATAAATAATTCAATTTACTCCTCATTTCGAGCTCCAAATTAAATAAACTATCTAATTAATCTAGAATTTAGAAAAATTATTATAAAGTCAAGAAAAATTAGAAAAATATGAAATAAATCTATGTGAACTCGTAAAATCATAAAAAGTAACAGACTATATCTAGTGAAATAATATTAGGTCACAAATGAAAATTTCTTTCTTTTATTTTATTAAAACCCATCAATTACGGGTCTATGTGTTAGATTATCAGAAGAGTTCTAAGTCCTTAAAGGAATCAAATATTTTCTAAGTCTCAAAGAGCTATAAAAAAGTTCAAAAAGAAATCTAATAAGCCAATCATCCCAACTATAATACAAGATAAAATGCTGAGAAAAAAAAATACGGTGGGCAAGAACCCAAGCCCAAAAAATGAAGATTTTCAATCTCTAGAGCCAAAGCTTGATATACATGAAGATTGACCAAGATGAAGAAGCAACATCCTGCAAAATAATTGTCAAAAAAGAAATAGCCTAAACAAGGAATAAAATAACATAGAGGAGCAATCCTTATAGACACCAAAAGACCAAAGCAGTGAAGATATGAGTTTAGCCTGCAAAAGAAAGAGCTCAATAAACTATAGAGTTAATCATTCAACAACAATATTTAAGACCAAAAAATAGACTAGGACACCTGAATGATCAAACTAGGAGAAGGAACAACAACAAAAGGGAGGAATCCAACCAAGTTCTCACCAATAGCCAAGAGAGCAACAATCATCCAACAATAACCACAGTCACAACATGACAACAAATAGAACTAATAGAATCAGCCACTAGCTTGAGGAACAGAGGACCACACAACAAACAACCCAACAAGAGAAACCACTAACCTACAATAGACCATAGCCAGAGCAAGCTAATTCTAAAAATCAACAGGAAAAACTCAACAAAAGAAGACTCAAAAAATATATACGGAAGATAGAGAAACGACACCAACTAGATAAACCACCAGTTATTCTCGTCTTCAAGAAAGAGAGGTAGAAATAACCAAAAGAACCAATTGCAACAAACACAATTGAGTTCTAGAACTACAATGCAAAATCAATGCAATATCTCGACCAAGGCTACGAAATAGGACCCATGCTCACCAAGCTAAAAAGCCTAATATGAAGAAATTTTTGGGATATAAGAGACACCAGTAATTTAGAATCTGATGCTATCCAAATGTTCCACTACTAATTATTAGCACAAATCTGAAGAGCATGTTGAAGACCCATGATGAAAGAACATATGGGAAGTTGGGAAGCAAAAAAGGAAGAATAAAACCCCCTTTGGAATGAAATAAATTTATTTGAAAATTATGAAAATTGTGAAGTAGAGCATTTTGACACTGATCTGGTGAGAATTGCGGCACGAGGCCATGAACAATATTTATATAGATTTATAAATATCCCTACCTCACCAAACTAAGTCCCTCACTTAGTTGTTTGGCTATGAAGAAATTAAAAGAGGGGAAGAAGTGAGAGGAGAGAGAGGTATTTGGATTCGACCCAAACCCAAAGACACGTTTATACCCAGGTCGGGTTTGGGTTGACACGTTTATGCTCAAGTCAACTCGGGTTCGAGGAAAACCCTGACCCATTAACCCGTTTGGACAGCCCTAAGTTTATTCACCTTCGAGTTAAATCTTGGATATAAGTGTTTTATTTCAAATTTGACAAACTAACTGAAGTTAATCCACAGGGTCATGTGGATTTCAATTTTAAGTTTAGCAAATGTGCCTTCTTTTCTTATAATGAAACTTAAAATTAAAATCATGCCTAGAGTGCAATTTCATTAAGTAATTACAGTGCATCTACATAAGCCTTAGCTCTTTTGAAAGTAATAGTCTTGTAACTTTTTGACTTAACCTTAAGTTGGAATCACTTTAATCCCAAACTTAAGTTAGTTTTCCTTTTACTTAGTAAATAAAGTACTCATTTTTAGTTGTTGCTTTAAATCAAGCAAGGATCTATATTTAATTATAATATCAACTTTGTAGCATTTTCATTTTTATGGATTTTTAGTTATATAAATATAAATATATATATATATATATATATATATATATATAAAACAGATGCTTATAGAATTTTTTAACATAGAAATTATATTTTAAATCAAATTGGCAAATACTTTTTTTTTTAACAAAAACATTTTATTGATAAATAAAGGGTTACAACAGAGATAGGCAAACATCTAATAAAATGCAGAAATGCAATGAAAGAAGGAAACTGAAAGTAGATAAATGGTAGTTGGGCTCAGTAGTTGACCGAGACATCCAGTGCCCCACCAACATGCACGGGCCATCCAGTAAGGTGATAAAGGGTCCAGTCAACGATACGCATCGAAAAGCACCAAAGGTTGCCGCAAGCAAAAGACAGGGCACTCGTCCCGGCCACATCATAGCCCCCAAAAAAATCTATGAGGCACCGAAACCCAAAATCGGAATACCAAACAGATTAACCAACAAAACAACAAATCATTAACGCCTACGACGACCCCTTGCCACGGCCCCTTCCGCGGCCCCTAGCACGTGAAACCTTCGAACAACCAACATTAGCAGGAACCAATGAGAAATCATTTCCTGGGTCAGAACCCCCACAAAAATCCGAAGATATGAAATCAAAATCCGAATGGTCAGAAACAAATTCACCGTTAGAAGAGTCATTTAACCAATTTATTTGATCCGATCTATCACAACTCAGAGAGTTCACCAGATTTATCGTAGCAGCCGCATGCACCGGAACATTCACGAACTGATTTAAGCTTTTAGATACTTCAGTTAAATTCTCCACCGGCACAACATTATTAACATCAACAACAGGTAAATCTAAATCAGCAGAACAACCAACAGGCCCAACCGGAACACACCGAGGGCTCGAAACATCAACAGCACTCAAATCAGGTAAAGCATCAGCCCCCATCCCGATAGTAACATCCAGCAAAACAGGGGAAATCGTGGTAACAGGCAAGGCAAAACCTCCACCCCAACACTAGGTTTCAAACAAATCTGGTCCGTTTCCATAATATCAGGAATGAGATGATTAGAAGGAAGATTCAGGGATGGAGATAAAACAGGTTCAAGAGGGTTAAGATTTTGCTGTATCCCGGCATCCACCGGAGGAGTAACCGAAATCAAAGGTGTTCTTAAATGAGGGACTTGTTTAGAGCATTCCGATTTTTTGTGACCAACAACTTTGCACTGCTGACAAAAACTAGGAACATCTTCAAAAATTACCTTTTGAATATACCCACACTTCTCCGGCCCTAACCACATCGAATCCAGGTGAGATTTTGAGATATCAATTTCAACCAACAAACGAGCTACCGAGGGACGCGAACCCACCGCCGTCGCATTATCTGTTTGAATCGGCCGCCCAAAAATTGATCCCAAACCAAATCAAATTGGCAAATACTTGATTTGTAATATTTAATTACTATAAATAAAACATTATTTAGATCCAAGAACTAATATGAATTTGAATATTAATTCTTTAAATTACTCCAAACATAATTTTTTCATTGATTCGTAAAAAAAGAATAATTAATATTTATTTAGTTCTCCAACCCATTCAATTCTAATTTGAGTCAAATGTTTATGATAAATGATAATAGGACTACTGATACTACAAATAATCAAAATATTTCATCTCATATAAATGGCCACATTGTTCCTTAGCTTCTGTTATTGATCCTGCAATTTTTTATTTTTTATTTTCATTAATCCCTTAAGAATGCGGAAATTTTCTAAATAAAATAATCTTAGAAAATTGAAGAAATAATCAAAATAAGTAAATTGCATTTTCATTTTTAAGCCGCATCAAGACCAACTAGTTGTCATTTGAGAAGTAGATGCGATAGGTTTCGAACAATACTAACAGTTGAATGGAGAAATTAAAAGAGAATGATGATTGTATACTATCTTTATCAGATTATGAGAGGATTCAAATACATTGTGATAGTGATTTTTTTTTTTTTTTTTTTTTGAAAGATGCAATTGCAATATTACTAAAAAGCTACCGAAGGAACCAATACAATCACATTCCTCCTTTAACATATAAAGAAAAGGAGGAGGAATATTATTCACTAATATCATCAAAAAAAAAAAAAAAAACTAGAAAGAGCAAAGTTAGCATATAAATAAACTAATTATTTTAATTCCTATAAACACAATTAAAAATAACATGATTAAAATCTTTAAGAAAAGCAAGCTCTTCCATCCAACGACTGGCCTTAGTAGCATCCATCTTTCACATCACTCCTTGAAGAAATTTAATGACATTAGAATTATCCCCTTCTATGATTATACATTTGTATTGCAACATCCATTTTTGCATCATAGAGCTGAAAGAGTGACTAGCAAATAGCTCCAACCGAGAGACATCCCAATATACACAGCTTACTCCAAATGCTAATAAAAATCTCCCCTTGTGATCTCAAAAAGTAAAGAAGCATCAACATTAACTTTGATCCAATCAGGAGGAGGAGAGTGCCAACGATTTTTCAACAGTCGATTCGACCGATTAAAACCCAGTGGCCCAATTTTTATATGCCAAACCCAACAGCAGATGAAATTGAGGCATAACTAACCGAATTGAATGCAATTACCACACTGCTATCCTCGTCACCACCATGCACATATTTACTTCTAGATTTTCAAGATAAATAAACAGCAAAACAATATAAATTAATCAGAAAAGCATTCTTAGAAGCAAAGCATAATTCCAACCAGCTGCAACATTCAGCAAATGAATCAAAAATAGGAATAAGAAAGCACCAGTTATTTAGACATTGAATCACTTGAATTTACTTTGAGCATTTCACCGCCACATGTTCGTGGTCCTCCACAACAATGCAACCTCCAGTATATGAATTAACATCTTGTAATCTTCTATACTTCAGAAATTGAAATATAAGAATAGCATTACAAAACATACGCCACCAGAGTACCTCCACCCGAGGATTCAACATTACCTTCTTGGTCCATTTCCAATAGTGATTATCAATCTGATGATGCACTGTAGCTTCAAATGCCATAGAAGAAACTGTTCTCCCCGAATTTTGATGAATAAATTCCTGTTGATCCTTAGCCAATTCAGGAATAATCTAAATTTGACAAATTAGAATAATCAATTCTTCATCTAAGTAATTCCGAAGTTCGTCCTTATCCCATATTCCATCCATTATGAACTTATCCATAATAATATTACTATTATCCATAATTGCAACAAACATTGGCCATATGTCAAAGTACTTATCCAACACCCAAACATGATTGTAAACATCACTAGAGTCACCTTTGTAAGCCACATGAAATTTTAAATAATGAAATTTTAAATAAAAACAAACAAGACATGTATCTTTTGATGGAAAATCATGCAATTTTTTTCAAATACTTGGAATTGGAAGGATGGGACAACTTACAATATGAGGAATTTAATTACGCTTAGTTTAATGTAATTATACATCGAGTTATTATCAATAAGGACTTGAACACTTGAATGGTTAAGGGAACCAGTGATATGGAATATGCTAGCTAGCTTGGATTGGATGCAGAAGAGGCAATACTCGTTATTGTTTTTCATTACATTATTCGTATACACAGGTACTTATACTAAAGATAAGCAAAATTCATCTTTCTTTCTTATGGTTTAAAAATTATGGAAAACTAAGTGAAAAATTAAATGACAGATGAAACTAAAGTATGAAAAATATGTCAAAACATGTAAAGTGTTGATTAATGTCAATTATTGAAACATTTTCTTTTTACTCAAATTCTTTCATATCATTAGATGATAAATAAAACAGTTGTAAAAAAACGTTCTTCTCTTACACACCATACATGTAACAAAATGAAAGCACACAAACGTATATAAATTCAGATACAAATATCTAAATAAAAAACATGCAACAAATAACAAATTCAGATCAAATTCCAATACTGAGATCTCCTGTGAATAATGACGATGGAAAGCACAACCATAATAAAATAGATGGAAGCGGCCATTGTTGAGATAACATTATTGGAGGCGATAGCAATACCGTAAAAAGTTATTGTCAAGTTGCAGAATTTGTTCCAGCCGTAGTGAGTTACCTTTTTCAGTCACCTTTACTGCGGCATTTGTTGTGGAGATGACGGTCACTGCTATCGATCAGATCTACAGCAACTATTTGAAGATGAAGTCGGGTGCCATATTTTTTTTATGGAGGAGAGGACTGTCACTACCGCGGAGTATACGAACACTAACATGTTGGAAAAGATGAAGTACCTGTGTTGAGGTTCATTGGAGAATTCTGTTAGGTTTTAGCCTCCATGGAGAGCATTTTCAAGGAAATCTTTCTTAGATACTCTGACTGATTGGCAGCAGCAGCACAAATCTTTTCTTCAAAGCGTTTTGCAATTTTCTTAAGCTCAGGTATTCCATCAGGAACATTAACAGGAAGATGCCTCTTTAGAGTGTCCATTATCTTATTAACGATCCTTTCCCTAGCATAGGGTGGGAGTTGGGAGCGCCAGTCGGAGGAAAGGACCGTCCACCGGTTGTTACTCTCCACCCAGGCCTGTAGGGAAAAATAAGATATATGTCAATTAATGAAATATATTAAACCCATACCCTCACACCAATTTGAGGATAATTATTAGTGTTAGAATGTGTTATACATAGTTGAAGTAGTATCAATGTTAAAATTTTTACACTTTCTTTTTTAATTCAAAAAGGGATACATTAAAAAATAAGAACAATACACCACAAGATTAAATAATGGTCACATAGATGAAAATTACAGCAAAAAAATACAATAAACAATTGGGCCAAGCACTCTAAGAGAAATCAAATTAAAAACCCCCCAGGCAATTGGACTCATACCGCCCCTAGTTGCCAAGCTTGGGACAATCCAAGGAGGGGAAAAGAAAACTGTCAAGAGACCAAAGAACCACCTAGATTGCGAACCAATCCATGTTCGTCCAAGGAGCCTACAGGAAACCTGCTTCATTATTGTCCTAATCTAAAAACGATGACGCAATAGAACCAAATTCAAGATTAACCAGCAATCATGGGTGGATCCCCATGGGGGGGGGGGGGGGGGGGGAAAACCCCCCCCCCAAGGGGGGGGTGGCAAATGCCCACCCTCAAAAAAAGTATATATTTTGGAATATTTTGGGTATTTTGCGTATTTTGCCCCCTCTCAAAAAATTGTTTTGCCCTAATTTTATCAATCCTAATCATCTTTGCCCATCCCCTACCAAAAAAAAATTTTTTTGCCCACCCTAAAAAAAGAAGCTTGATCAGCCCATGCCAGCAATCCAAAACAAAAAGACTACAAAAAGAGAAGTCATTTCTTTTCAGATTTGCGTTTACTGCGCTTAACATTATTTTTGAAAAAAACCAACATCCACAACTTGGAGAAGACTTAAATCAAAGTTTTCCTGAGCATCCAATTCTAACACCTTAATTTCTTCCCATTCTACTAAAGAAATGTCATCCTCTAACCAATTGCATTGGCACATAACATTATCCTTCGCTAGGTGGGCTAACATACCAGCATTGGAAATAACAAAAATTGGTACATCAACTAGAGGCACCATAGAAGCAATGGGAGAAATTTGGAGCTCAGATGACACAACAATCCCGTGCCCATCCGAACCTCCAGCCCCCTCAGAACCTAAGGAAACATAATCTTCACCCAACACCTCCTCATACATATCACAAGTAGGACTAGCTATAAGGTTAATACAACAATTATTAGCATTCAAGAACCCACAAACAAAAGAAGAAGGCTCCACTTCCTCCCCAACCTAAACAAAAAAAATTCAATTTAGAGCAGCCCACGGGTATCAGAACCCCATCCAGAACAGGCCGCGGAGGATTCAAAACATCCTGTGCAGCCGCAAGAGCCATATGTCCATCATCCAGTTCAGATGCCACCACACATCCCATCTCAGAAACAGGTCGATGAGCATCAACATCATCACAAATCAATTTTGAAACATTAGGCAAATCAAAACCAATAATAATTGCTTTATCGACAATATTAGAAACAATAATGTCAATGCTAGCAACATTCCCGTCACCACCAACAGTGGGACACAATTCTAAAGCCAATTCATTGGCATCACAAGAAACAATATTTCCACCCTATCCCCCTCACAACTAACATTAACAGTAAACAGTTTAGAGACTATAGGAGCATCAATATAGACCGGGCAGATGACTGATGAGGCTGACAATCACCACTCAAATGCCCTACATTTACATGAAGCATAAAAGGCTGTGAATGCCTCCATCGAAACTTGTTGAATATAGCATAGATTTTTAGGACCCAACCAGACTTTATCGAGGTAGGTTTTCTTGATGTCAAGTTCAACCAGCACACGTGCAACAGACGATCTAGAACCCACGAAAGTAGCATTATCAACCTTCAAAGGCCTACCAAAAATCGAACCCAATCCAAAAAAGGATTTTTTTTTTTTTTTTTTTTTTTTTTTGGGGGGGGGGGGGGGGGTAGAAAGAATGAGGACGGAGATTGGGAAAGAAACCCAAATAGGAATTACATGAGACTCAACACATACATCAATAAGAGGAAACCATTTGGTCAGTTTAATATAGAAATTATGAACTAAGTAGGATCATTGATAGAAAATCCTACAATAATCAAGGATATTATTCTATTTGATCAAAATATATAACTGATCAAGCAATGTAACAGAGACATCACTAGTTAGCTTAAGGATGAAAAAAAAAACCTTCGAATCGATTCCAGAGAATGCCCCTTAGAAGGGAAAAAAATAATTAAGGAAAACTAAAAAGGAATCACAAGGGAATTGATTTCTTCCTCTGAAATCCACAGCGATAGCAAACCACGAAATAAGAAGGTTTAAGATCAGGAAATCTACCATCGAAGGAACTACCAGTAAGAGCATCGAGAAAAGAACGAGATTTGAACGAACCTTCCAAAAAACAAGGATCGCACTAACGTTTTCTCGCCATTCCATCAAAGGAGGGCAGAGGACGCCGAAATGAAAACAAAACGAAAAATAAAAACACCACAATAAAAGAAGCAAAGGGAAAAGATGACTTCCTTGGAAGAATGAGAGCGAGGGACTGAGGAGTGCTCACCCCAAACAAGCGAGGAGCGTCAGGATCGCCCTAGGCGGAAACCCTAACCGCTGAGAGGAAAATAAAAATAAAAATTGCTCGGACGATTAAATGGTGTTAAAATTTTTAAACTTGATTTCATATCAAACTATATAAAGGTTCATTAAATAATTTGGTTAATTAAAGTTTACAAAATATATTTTAAATATTAATAAAATTATTAATCTCAAAAAATGAAAATCAACTTCCAACAAGGAGCAAAAAATTATAACAACCGCTAAGAAAACAAAACACAATTGAAAAGGGCGAAGATACCAACCGGACTCAGGAAATGGCAAGAAGCTCCTGCAACCACCCAAAGCCAAAAAAGAACCATCCATTGGCGGTAGCAAATGATGAATGAAACAGAGGATAACCAACAAGCATCAACCCACAAAACAAATAAAGTCTCACGAACAGAATGAGAAGATCTACCACCAAGGTTGCCAGGAAGAGAAGGCTGGTGGTGAACAAACGCAACCTCATAATTGTTGGATCTCCCATAGTGAGCAGACAACACCAAAAGAAGGTTCGTAATCGAAAAAGCATAGTAGCCATGTGAAAGAAAAGATAACATAAGAGAAGGCTACCAGAGATAACAATTTACTTCCTCTTCGATTTTCTCCCACCGCCATAGGAGTTGGCTTATTCCACAATGTGCCCCACCTTCAAACCATATATCTCTTGAAAATCATCCACATGCTTAACGATGTCATCTCCAACACCCCCGAAGGCCGAGGAGAATGAACCATCCAACCAATCAGATAGTTCCTCAATATTGTTATTCAAAATCAAAGCAATTTGAGCTTTCAATTCAGTATTAGAAATAATTGAAATTAGAACATCAATAATTGGCAAATGTCCTTAATAACCTCACAATTAGGTGATAAACGTGATCCAAAAGAAGCCAAGGGCGATTCGAGATTCAAATTACCAGGTGACTCATTCAAAACAACCATGTTAACATCACACACTTCCATGTTGAGCCTATCCTCCACATGACAAAAATCATGAACAATTCCAAGACAAAGCCCAACATCCAGCATTTGGTCTAAATTAGAAACAACAACAGTGGGTGGTCTATCCATGCCAAAATCAGCACGCACCCCATCAAAAAGCAGTGTTCCAACCCCATCAGAAGGATAAACCAATTTTTCATTAGGATAATACAAAATATTAGCCGCATTTTGAAGTCAAAGGGATCCTAGTCGACGACGATGGTGGTCGGAGCGACTGTAATCGATAGCCAACAGTGGTTGAAGGGACTATAATCAATGGTTCTTATAGATCAGAGGTTGAAGTGACTATAATCAACGGGTGACAGATGTTGAAGGGATCATAGTCGGTGGGCGGAGATGCAAAAAGGTACTATAGTCGGTGGGCGGCGATGGTCAGAGGGATTATAGTTGGCGGGCGAAATCGATTGGATGGATTGTTGGAGGGATCATAGTCGGCGGGCAACGATAATTGGAGGGGTTGTATCCCACGGGTGATGTTGATTGGATGGACTGCCAGAGGGACCATAATCGGTGGGCGATGGTGATCGGAGGGATCGTGAGGGACTTTAGTTCGCGGGTGATGGAGATCGAATTGATCGTGGTCAGCGGGCGATGGAGGTTGGAGGGACCGTAGTCGGCGGGTAGCGGTGGTTGAAGGGAATGTAGTCGACGAGCAACCGTAGATGGAGAGACCCTAGTCGGCGGGTGATGTAAATAAGTGGGATCATAGTCAACAAGCAATCGAGGTCAGAGGGACCGTAGTCGGCGAGAGACAGTGGTCAGAGGAATAGTAGTTGGTAGATGACATTGGCCGGATGGATCACCTGAGGGACTCTAGTCGGCGGGTGACAGTGGTCGAGTGATTGTAGTCGACGGGCAACGTTGGTCAGAGGGATCATAGTTGGGGGACCGTGGTCGGATAGATGAAGGGATTGTAGTCGATGGACGATGGTGGTCAAAATGACCGTAGTCGAAGGATGACGGAGGTCAGAGGGACCATATTTGGTGGGCAATGTTAGTCGGAGCGACAATAGTCAACGGGCATTGTAATGTTAGAAGGACTGTAGTCAATGGGGGACTGTGGCCAGAGAGATCACAGTTAGTGGGCAATGGTAGTCCGATGAAGTTCAGGAGGAAGTCTAGTGGCGGTTGATGAAAGGGTGGTAGTTTGGCAGCGATTGATGGCCGAGAGGTGGTCCAACTATGATTGAGCGGAAGTCCAGTGGCGATCGATGACCGGGTGGAAGTCCAGCGGTCGGTGGTGGTCCGATGATGGTCGCACGGAAGTCTGGTGGCGGCTGGTGGTCAATTCAAATTCTGGCAACCGGGCGGTGGTTTGACGATAGCCGAATGCAAGTCAGGTGTCGGCCGACATCCGAGTGGAAGTCCGACCGTGATAAGTGGTCAGGCAATGGTTGACGGAGGTTTGCTGACGTTGATGCTGAAGCTCTTGAAGCCTTAAAGCTCTCTCCAATATCTAATCAAAAGGTCCCCTTTCATGTAGAGTGTCGGGGTTTATTTTTAAAATTTTCAGAGTGACATTTACTGTAAATATGGAGAAGATCTAGGGCAGATTTAGAGTGATCAATCAGACATCCTATATTGATCCCCCTAATTATAGAGTATTTTTCAAGTGTTAATGTGCCTTAATAATGTCGGAATTCAACGATCTAGCTTGGGCTCATTGGATTCGTCTCACCGAGCCGCTGGATTCACTTATAAGCATGTAATATTTATATTTCATTTGATTATCGAATTTAGGCTTGGAACCTTCAAAATAAACTTCGGGCTTCGATTTGGACCCATTTGGGCTTGGATTACCTGATTTTTGTGCCGTTTGTTTCTACTCTTCATGAATTTCAGTTTGACTATAAGTTTGTTCAGATTGGAGTTCATATGATACCGAATTTAATTTTAAAAATTTTCAACTTAAATGCACCTCGAGATCCGTGCATGGTCAAGACAATTTTTGGTAACGTATCAAATTTAAGTAATAACCATGTTAAAATTCTTACACTCATAATCAAAATAAATAAAGATTCCTGAATTAATTTGGTTAAGTGAAGTTTATAAATTATACTTTAAATATTAATAAAATTATAAATCTCATTGGTTTTTTATTTGTAAGGATGATTATTTTATTTAAAAATACTCAGTAAAAATAAAGTTATTATTTTCCTGAACAAAATTTTTAATTCCGAGGCAACCAAATGAGTCCAAAAATTCTCATCGAATGTGTAAGAAATACTGTTAGATTAGTTTAGAAATAAATAATTTTAAATGATTTATTTAAAGAAAGACTAATTATAGAAAGAAGGTTTATTATAGGATCATGTTTGAATAGAAAACTCATCACGCCGCTCCGTTAGGGTTTTTTTTGCTCCAAGTGCTCCCTCGCCCCGCGGGGGGTTTTCTTCCAGCGACCTCCTAGATTCAGGAAAGCTTTCTCTTTTTCTTTCTTCCTCTTGTATTTGGAGTAGTTTTTTGGTTGGTTTTGTTTTCGGTTTTCGCCGGCTGTGCCGGTATGCCGAGTGCTAAGCTCCAGGACCCTGGATTTTTCGGTGGGGGTTCTCACTCTCGTTCTTTTCTTGAAGCACTTGCTGGTTCCAAGAATTCTTTTCCGGATTTGCATGCTTCAACCTTCCATGGATTACCTTCTTTGTGGATTTCCGATGATGAAATCAACAAGCTGGCTGCCCCTTTTCAGTTCTCATTAGTTGGCTTTTTCCCCTCCAAAAGGCCTTCTCTAGAAGCTATTCGTAATTTTTTTTTTTCAATTTAAAGCTTAAAAGTGAGGTTTCTGTCACTGTTCTGGTCCCCTCTCATATTCTGATCAAGCTTTCTAGTGATCTAGATTATTGTAGGGTGTTCTGTCACCGCTCTTACCTTGTCTATAACTGCTATATAAAATTAACGAAGTGGTCTCCTAGTTTGTATATCGGTGTTGAGTCGTCGGTTATCCCGATATGGATTTCGTTTCCTTGTCTTTGGCCTCATTTCTTCGCTCCTCGAATTCTATTTGGGCTTGAAAAATTGTTTGGTAAGCCCTTGAAAATTGATGAAGCCACAGCTGTCGGTACCCGCCCGTCCAATGCTCGGGTGTTGGTTGAGCTAGACATTACCAAATCTTACCCTAAACAAGTTTGGTTAGGTTCGGAAGCTTTAGGTTACGTTCAAGAGGTAGTTTTTGATGAGTTTCCTCAGTTTTGTGCGGGTTGCAAATGTATTGGGCATTCCTTGGTAAATTGTCGTCCTGTTGCGTCTGTTCTTCTGAATGTTTCTTCAAGCCCTTTAGCTAATTTATCCCCTCAATGTGTTGATAATGTTATTTCGAACTCTGATCCTACTGTTGCGGAGGTTTTGGGGGGTGAGCTTGCTAATACTGAGAATATACCTGAAGTGTTACTGACTGCATTTTCTCCGTCTGTTTCCCATGTTGTTGAGGGAGGCTCTGTCCAGTTGTTGGATGTTAATTCTAATGGGTTGCCTGGTGCGGTGTCCAGAAGCCTTCCGGCTGTTGTTCAGGTGCCAGAAATTAGTGTGGTTTTGGGTTCTTTTCCAGTTTTGGATTAGTTGGATCCCGAGCCCCCTTTGTTGCCTAGTTTGGATGATGCGGCTGTTTCTGAATCGAGATTGAATGTTTCTGGTGGGTTGGGTGATTCGCCGGTTTTGGGTGTTTTAAATGGTTTTGAAGGGCTACAGAATGTTGGTGTGTCTGTGGCTCCTAATGAGGTGTGTGGTACTTCAGGAACGTTGATTAATTCTCAAAATTTAGTTAATGTGCCTGTGAATCTTTTGGCTTCGCAAGCTATGATGTACTAGTTGGGTGGTACTTCAGGAATGAATGTTCGATCCCATGGTGATGGGTTGCATTTTTCTTCTGAATATGAATCGGATTCCGATTCATATTCAGATTTTTGCAGTTGTTTCATCCTAGCAACGAGTTTAAGTTGGTGCGTGATAGACCTCTCAATGTTGCATCTCGTGGGAAATTTCACGGTAGAGGCGGTAGAAGAAGATAATTTTGTTTCTTTTTTGGTTTTCCCTTCTGAATTTTTGAATTTGCTTATCGGTCGGATTTGGTTGGTTGGAGGTTTGCGGGCTATGATGTGCTGGGGCTCGTATCCCCTTCGCCTAGCTAGTGGCAACCTTAGGTGTTTTCATCAATTGGCTTGGTTCGATCAGCGTTTTATTTATCTAACTGGATGGTCCTTGCTTGACTTTGGGGATGCTTGGAGCCCCGACAATTTACTGAGCCCTCTCTTTGTAGGGTTTATCCCTATTTTGTTTAGGTTTTTTCTCTTAGATGGTGTATCTTCTTTTATTGCAGTTGTGCATCTTACTGTTGTAACCTCTTTATTATCCAATATATTTGATGGTTTAAAAAAAAAAAAAGGTTTATTATAGGAAAGAGATAATGAAGGGGCCAAAAAAAACGAACCTTTGGAATAAGCGCATCAAAATCCAGTTGGTATCATAGTTAAAATTCCTACACTTTATGTCATATCAAACTACTGGTTCGTTAATTAATTTGGTCTTTAGAAAGTTTAGAAATATATTTGAGTATTAATAAAATTATAAATTCCATTAATTGTATATTTTCAAGAGTGATTATTTTAATTTCAAGCTTAAAATGAGTCGGTGAAAATAAAGTTATTATTTTCTAAAGCAATTTGAGATAAAAGTTAGAATATTTGAACAAGTCACGATATAACTGAAATTTAAACCATGCATATATTTTTAGGTTTTATTTACTTTGCTATATAGAATAAAATCTCTTTTTTATTTTATTTTTAAATAAAAAAAAAAAGATTTTTTATTTGTTTTCATGGGTCACGTGCATCAATAAAAAGTTAGAAATTATATTTTGAATATTAATTAAATTATAAATCTCATTGATTTTTCATTTTCAAGTATGACCACTTAATTTTCATGAGTAAAATTCGTACACATACCTCGTCGGATGAGCTGTCGTCAGATTCCTGCAAATCATTAAAATTAGTGTTAGATTTGTTAATTGCTTTTGTTAATCAAAGATTTTAAATTAACTTTTGAATATTAATTAAAATTTAGATCTCATTAATTATTAATTTCTAAGAATGACGATTTTATTTTCAAGCTTAAAATTCATACCCCAACGAAGGAGTTATAGTCGCAAACCTGCAAAACCATTAAAATTAGTGTTAGAATTTGTCATTCACAATTAATTGATATAAATAATAGAAATGTTAAAATTCTTACACTTGATATTCAAAAAATACATAGAGAGTTAATGTTAGAATTTGTTATCCACATCTAATTAATATAAGTAATAGCAAAGTTAAAATTCATACACTTCATAATCAAACTATATAAAGATTCATTAATTAATTTAATTAATATAAGTTTAGAAATTTGTATTTTGATTTTGCATTTTTTTAGAATATGCAAGAAAAAAAAAACTTTTAAATGATTTCTTTTTTTAAAAGGCTTATTGTAGAAAGGACCAACCCAATCCTCAAGCATAGCCATATGAGCCGTCCAATCCTGCAAACAATTAGAATATAATTAGTATTATGTAGCATTGTTGAAATTCCTACACTTTATTTCATACCAAATTATGTAATGGTTCAGTAATTAATCTGGTCTTTAGAAAGTTTATAAATTATACTTTCAGTATTAAGATTATTAATTTAAAAAAAGTAAACAATGATATAATGCCCCAAAGGTAATTAAGGCTTCGTTTGGGACGGCTTTTTTATTGCTTTCTAAAACGGAGTTTTAGTACAAAAATAAAAAATTTTGTACTAAAACTCAGTTTTAGAAAGCAGTAAAAAAGTTGTCCCAAACGAAGCCTAAATTGTTAGCACAAATATTAAAATAGAGATGACTAATTTACAATGAAATAGTTGAATTAAAATGACTAAATTATGTATTGTAATGATTTCCTATACATACCTTGTCACCGGCGAAGCCATGCCATTGGCACCACTCTCTCATCCGTGGACATTCATGTACAAGTGCAAAGCCTTCTTTAAATGAAACTCTTCCAAATGAATAATCAAAGTCTTTGTCCGAATCGGGCTCGAGCCGACTACACTTAAGTAACTTCAAAACTTTAAGAGTGCCAAGAAGATTATTCATGTTGATCACTGACTTGAGATTGTCACAACAAAAAATTTTCACTTTTTGAAGCCTAGGAAGTTGTCCAAGACTATAAGGAAGTGCAATATATTCAAGACTTTTACAGGATTTCACATAAAGTATCTCAAGACTTGAGGGGAAGGATGATATTTGTTGTAGGTTTTCGCAATCAAATATGTTTATACACTTAAGGCTTGAGAAATCTCCATTTTTCACCATTAGACGATCTTTCCATTCAAGCAAACTTTTATTTGTGAGATATCCAGATGAAGGAAAACCCACATGGGTCTCTATAGAGTAATTCTCAAGACCATCAGGAGGGGCATTAATACACCAAAATTCTTGCCCCATTCTAATTATCTCATTATTAAGCATAATTTGAAGTGAAGTGAGGGATGGTAGCTTAGACAGAGGAAGAAACCTGCATTCTTCATTGCTATAGAAATTTGTCAACCTTATTTTTGTTAAATTGGAGAAGTGAGGATTTCCAAACCAACTTGGGAAGCTGCTACTATTGTAGCCATCAATGGTTAACTCTTTAAGGTTTGTGTGGGGTTGGAGGCCTTCAAGAATAGCTTTATCATTCCTTGCACATTTATCATATTTACCACATTTCCAGATAAGTTCTAGCCTCTCGACATATGGCTTTCTTTGTAAATTGGCACTCTTTGCATCTTCATGATCGACCACATTTTCAAGCCCATAAAGCTTTAGACTTCTTTGTAAATTTGCTAGGGGTTTCAGCCATCTAATACTAGAGTATGGACCATCTCTTCTTACGTGATACGTAGATGAAACGAACTCATTTTGTACCTCATCAAAAATAACCGTAAGGAGATTTTTACTCCCGAAATATGATTTCGGCACAAGTGCTTGATTTTTGCTTATGATCATCAAGTGACGTAAGTTGATAAGTGTTCCCATTGTATTGGGTAGCATATTTATATTAGATGATTGGAGTATTAGTGATTGTAACTTGTAAAGGCTACATAATGAGCTCTCCCTCATACAGTTTACCTGTGCACATATAGAGAGATAACGGAGTTGTTGTAGGTAACCTATCGAATCTATAAATTCATAGCTGCATACACAATGACAAAAACCAAGTGTCAAAACACGCAAGCATCCCAAATTAGATAATGGAATCTTAGAATATAATCTCTGAATGTAAAGTGTTCTTATATTCCCGAGTGGAAGAACCTGATCATTGCTTATGCCTTTTATGAATATATGCTTTGCAACTTTGTGGATGTTCGTCAATTCATCAAACTCAAAAAAAGGATCATTGATTGTGCCTTTCATGAATATATGCTTTGCATCTTTGGGGATGTTCTTCAATTCATCAAACTCTAATAAAGAACATATTTCATTTTTGGTTATAGATTGAGCTAAATCATGCACCATGTCATGCAAAAAGAACATCTCATCATATTTCGAGCATTGAAAGAATGACCTTCTCACTAAGTCTTCAAAGTATTCAACTGCAATATCTTCCCATAATATTTTTCTTTCTGTGAGCTGAATGTAACCTTGATCGATCCACATTCTTATCAATTCTTGTTTATTTATGTAATGATCCTTTGGGAACAGAGATGCATAGAGAAAGCATCGTTTAAGATACAATGGCAAGTGATTGTAGCTTATCCTTAATGCTGACAAAATAATTTCTTTGGGATCCCATAAATTATTGTTTAACACATCCTTCCATGTCTGCTCCTTAAATTCATTGTGTAGAAATCCTCCAATAACTTTTAAAGCCAAAGGCAATCCGCCACATTTCTTAGCAATTCTCCTCCCAAGTTGTTCAAAATCCAGTTGTTGATCTTGCTGCCAACCATGAAAAGCATGTCTTTTGAACAATAACCATGACTTCTCTTCATGCAAGCATCCAAGCTGTAGTGGGGACACCGTTTTCATGATGCCAACAACTGACATAGATCGAGTTGTTATAATAATTTTTCCCACTCCAATACTTGAAAAGGGGGCTAGTAGGACCTCCCATATATCTGCTCTCTCATTCCAGACATCATCAAGAATAAGAAGAAATTTTTTATTTAATAGAGCATCCTTAAGTTTGCATTGAAGATAATTCAAGTTATTATTGTCATTGTACTTGGATGAATCCTCAATGGATGACACAATTTCTTTTGTTATTCCCAAAACTTCAAATTGTTCGGAGACACAAACCCAAATCTTTGGGCTAAAATGTTGGCATACCACAGGATCATTGTATACATGTTGAGCAAGTGACGTCTTTCCCACACCCCCCATCCCAACAATGGGAATTACAATGTTCTTTGTCTCAGAATGAGACATTAACAATTGAATTATTTCTCTCTTTTCCATCTCCCTTCCAATAATAATATCAGATTCATGCACATGAGAACTACTCGGTGGCCTCTTCATAACATTATTAAAATAAGATCGTCTAGGTGCATCCTCTTCTTTAAGCATAAGTGCTTTTCTATCATTTGCAATCTCATCAAATTTCTTTATGATCTCAATGATCCTCATGGCCATGTCACAAGAAATGGGAATTTTAATTGAATTAGGAGGTAGTGATACCTGATCATAGTTTTCATACATGATCAACATATTAATAAACATATCCACTCACTTTCTAATAACTAGAATTTTAATTGAATTTATGAGTGGAAGACATACCTGGTAGCCAAAAACATCACCATCATCAACTCGTTTCCTCTTTAGAGAAGGCTTTGCTTCAGTTGTTACTGTCATTCCTTCCAATTGGGTTTTGATAACTTGATAATCATATTGATCCAAGACATCTTCAGCATCATAAGCAACTTCTCTAAGCTCGCTGAGCCATAGCTGGATGGCCTTCTCATTGATCTCCCTCTCCTCAGCATCATGAAGGACTGCCTGAATTCTTCGCAGCATCCTCGACAATCGGCTCAAATCCTCCATTAATCTTTTTTGGATCGAATTAACTTCAATAGCAGTTACATCTTCATGTGATATAGATGATGAGGAAGTTGCATCCGGTGAACAAAAGGTAGGCATAAACTGAGATAATCTTTCAAAGGAAGATAATAGATTGGAGATGATCAAAGAAGTTGTCCCTGCCATTTCCAGACCCTTAGCTCAAGAATCAATGAAGCTTCAATGTGGATTGGATATTATTCAGAGAAGATGAAATAATGAATTTTGAGTGAAGATCGGAAGCCAAGTCAACTCAGAGGTCTTTAATTGGTGCTCCAATAATGTAGAAGATAACATGAAATTGAAAAAAATTATGAAAGGACCAACGAAACATTTTCACTTTAGAAAAACATTAACATTTATAAGACACATAATTATAATATTTTTCTTAAATATTAAAGAATACATAATAATAATATAACATAAATAAATAAGTGGTTTATTTAAATAAGAATAAATTTAATTTACTTGGGTAAAAAAATAAATTTACGAAGTTAAATTTATTAGATATTTCAAGCTCAATTAAAAAAACTGCCACATAATATTATAGATTGTTGATATAAAGTAAAAAAAAAAATAAAAACTTAAAAATAAGAAAATATCATAGAAAAACATGCAAATGAAAGTTTTGTGGTTGAAAAATGGAATCTTGCTTTGAAAGCAATGGTTCAATTAATTGATAAGACATGTGCGCAAGTGGCGAACAATAGTACAATTAATGGACACAGCTTTTTCCTCTCACATGCATTGCAGGCGCAGCTCCTTAACGTCTGTACACATACAGGGTAACAAGCGTTACTTAGTGTTATCCAGCGGTATCGAATGGTACCTAGCTGAATTTTATATTAGTGTGCGGACGGTTCTCTTATCTGCACTCCACATATTAGGTGCGGAGTGCAGACGGGAAGAACACCGTCGCACACACACAAGATACCAAGCGGTACCTAGTGATATCCAGCGGTACCGAATAATACCTAGCTGAATTTTATACTAATATGCGGACGGTTCTCTTATCTGCACTAAGTCTCTCCTTCCCCATGTGAAGTTACAGAGCATTGCGTCCAATAGCTTTGTTGGTAGGTGGCGAATAATAAAGAAAGAGAAGGACAGCACATGACCCCACCTTCTTTCTTAAATTATCCTTTTGATATTTATTAAATTATACTCTAATATTAACTATAATAAAAATTGTAATTAAATCTTTTTATGTAATAGTAAAAATATAAATATAATTAAATATAAAATTATATTGATTTATATTCCACACATCCAAATTATTATTGAAGCGGTCTAATTGAGACTATTGGCGTCAAAATCACGAGAAATTATTATGTGCTTTATTCGGACCTAACTTGCTTTCAGACTCAAACCAAGACATACCACATAATTCTGTGCACATAATACTATGTTCAATTTGCACAAAAGCTTTGCAAAATTTGTATACACGACACAGGCGATGTGGTAGACTATGATTGGAGTATGTAATGATTTTTTTCAAAATCAAACACAATTTTTTGTGATTTTGAAATGTTTCTTACTTATATATATATATAATTTGTTAAAGAGTTAGAAAACAAAAATGTTTCTTAGAAAATATTTAAGAAATATATTTAAAATATTTATAAAATATATTTAACAAAAATATTTTAGGATAAAAGAGAAGAAAAGTCCTACTTTAATTCAATTATGATAGATTTTTATTGTTCAAAATTATTTCCCACCTATCAAATCTTGCTTTTAGGCCTCAAATAACTTTAATGTTTGGTGGGATGATGATGAAAGTTAATAATCTTATCTTGAAATATGAATAATTGAGCTGCTTTAATTAAAATAGGCATAAAAATTGTATAATTTAAAACAAAAAAGTTACTTCAACTTTAGCATATTGCAATGAATGTTTTAGTGGCAAGCAGGAGCAAGGAATCTTTGCTTTTAAACTTTTAATTTTAGTAAGAATTGAATAGTGTTACGTTTGTAATTGAAGAGTCATGCTTTTTAAGTCTCTAATTAATTTTATTAGATTAGTTCAAAGCTCAATTATTTAATAATATATATATTTTAAAACTCTACTATAGTTCTAATCGATATTCTTAGTCGAGCTCTAATCGAACTTGTTCACCAATATTAAACGATACTGTTCATGAACATAAACAAACCGAATGCAAGTTGTTCAAGCTTGTTTAGTATTTATCAAAAGTGTTTAAGCATATCAAACGAACATGAATGAGCTCTTACCTAGCCGAACAAGCCATGAGTAGCTCATCGTACGCTTGGTTCATTTGCAGCCTAATTTAACCGCTCAAAAATGAAGTTTAAATTTTTATGGCATTCCTTGATGGATGAAACAATATCTAAGTATAATATGCTTATAATTAAAATGAGCATCTTGATGATATATATATATATATATCATAAGCTCATGATTGCTCGATTTTGATATTATTGTAGTATTTAAATGTTTAAAGAAAATTACATTATCAAGGATATTTATACAAACCGTTCAATCAAGTAGTTTTTTTTTTTTTTTTTGTCAGAATGATTAAATAATTCATCTTTAAAATTTAATAGTTGATGCCACAAAAAAGGTTTCGATGAAACTAACCCAAAACATGACTTTCAAACACAAAATATATAAGCCCAATGATGAAACCTGTCAACGACATGAACGCCAACACCCAACACTAATAAAACTAATGGGCACTACCTCTAACAAGGTTGATGCCCGACGTAGCCTGCAAGACTAATATATGCTTCCCTGGCCTCAACACCACTTTGATGTCTTACATTGCCACTAACGACACTTATTGTCATTAGCAAGGTTGAAGTTCACCATTGACACAATCACTGACACTAACTGCTAAGTCTTGCTGTTGAACCTCAAATAGCTTTAATGTCTATGAAGAAGTTTTATTGCTCGACCAAGGAAATATACTCAATTATGTGTCTTTTTTTATATATATATAAAGCCCAACGGAAGGAGAAATTATTACACCCGGTCAAAAACCGAACGGTCCGAATGTATACCGAGCAATACCGAGTGCTCAATACCGAGTTTTTTGTGACGTGGCACGTGGTTGTTGGCCTCCGAAGGCGTTCGGTTGACCGGACGAAATAATTGCTCCAACGGAAGAGGTCTACGCGTTAATAACAAAATAGGATTACGAATCATTAAAGGTTTCAAAGCCCTCTAAAATACAACAATAGAAATAAAACCTATGAGCCACAAAAACCAACTAATTACAAAAACAATTCAAAACCAAATAAAAAATAGCCAGCGGAAGCTCCGAAGCCACCAACAACCAGATCCTGCATCCTACAAAGTAGTTCCTGCAAAAAATAAAGAGGAGGCAAAGATGGACAAAAAAGTGCAAGCATAAAAACAAGTCTACAAGACATCCACCACATCATCAAAACCACCATGAATCAAACGGAGAATAAATCTCCTAAGCCGGGCCGAAAAAAAAAAAAATCTCAGCACTCATTCAGCTAACTAGAAGAAGATTATCTCTTCCTCGATTTTCTCCTACAACACTTACTTCCACCATGAGAGAAGCTTTTATGAATTTTACTACTCACATTTAAACTATATAAGTCATGAAACTCCTTCATCGACAGCTCATCCAAACCCTCTCAAACTTTCCCACAAGGCGAAGAACCATACCCATCCATCCAATCTGATTGATTCACACTGTTTTCAGCACATTTGAAGACAAAAAGACCTTCAATTCATTGGAAGACATAAGCTCAATTGGATCATAGACACAAGGCACCTTCTCCATCTCCCTCAAATTACTGGTCAAACCTACTGCAGCAACAACATTATTAACACATTCCACATGCACATCAGAAACCATAGCAACCATAGAACCAACAAAGTTACAAGCTTCAGGATTAGAAGAAATACAATTACCACCAGAATTTATAAAAACAACATATTCATTTCCAACATCAGACAAAAGGGACTAAAACATACATCAAGTAAACAATTATGAGCTTACAATACCTCCATAACACCCACATGGATAACATGATTAGTAGACACAGGCATGATCGATAACTAAGCCCCCACAACAACCAACGGACTATACCCAACAATAGGAGCTACATCGGTCCTATAATGAGAAGAGACCCCACAATCCACTCCACTAACACCTAGCGGATCACTAATACCCCTCAAAAGCGCAGCAGTCAGAAGCCCCTTCACAGCATTAACCTCTTCCACCACCAAATTATTAATAGACAAAGCAAGAGTAGAATTAGGAATAACAACATTTAGCGGATGGTCCTTCTCAACAATAGCTTTCCCATCAGAATTATTAAGATAGTTAACAATAAGAGGAACAACAACCACATTTCCACTTAAGATATCTTTATTCAAAACAGCAGAAGCACTCCTAATAATATTTTCCTCACTCTTAGAAGGATTAGAAGTAATCCCATTAGACAAAACAGGATTAGCATTAGATTTCAGAATAAGCAATGAGAAAGAGGAGTGGACGTTACACTCACCCCTAAGATGACCAAGACACTTGCACGAAACACAAAATGAAGAAAAATTCTCCATTTGAACCATTTGAACATACTATGCATTCTCATGCCCAAGACAAAAAACTCTAATATAATCAAGATCATTAGATAGCTTAATCAAAACGTGCAACTGATCAAGAACAATAACAAAGAAATTGGCATTTAGCTTCAAGTTAAAAAAAACTTACGAATTACATCCAACGAAGGTTGGTGTGAAGGAAAAAAAAACACAACCAAAGCAAATTTAAAAGGAACCGCAAGAGCCAATATTTCTTCCTTTGAGATCCACAAAGAGGGAAAACCACGAAACGAACACTGTCGGAGCTCAGGAAATACAATTGAGGGAGAACCAGAAACGGCATCCACAAAAGATTGCAATTTGAAAGAACCATTCAAAAAATCGGGATCACTAACTCATTCAAAAAATAGTAGAAGGATCAATAAATTAATATTCTTTTAAGAAACTATGTGATTACTCTCAAGTATCCATTCAAAGTTATAGCCAGTCCAACCAAATCCAACATGAAAAAGAGGAATTATAGTCTGACATAAGAAAATAACAACTTCCACAACATCATTCAATGTTCTAATTATGTTTCTGTAACTATTGTTACAGCTAAATAATAACATGTCCTAAAACCTCTTTATAAAGAGGAATTATAGTTTGACATAAGAAAATAACAACTTCCATCATACCAAAAATAATTATTTTACAATGATATATTTTTGAAAAGGCTTATTATTATAGGAAGGATGACAAGACTTAGTAAGCTCCAACACATCCGATTATTTCCTCGGTCAAATACTGGAAGTCTGCAAAACATTAGAATCAAAGTATAAGTGTTAGAATATGATATCCATAGTTAAATAGTAGCAATGTTAACTAACATACTTACATTTGATTTCATATCAAACTAAGGGTTCTTTAATTAATTCCATTGATTGGAGCTTACAAATTTATAAATCCCTTTTTAATCCTGCAAAGCATTACAGTTAGTGCAAAGCATTAGAATAAGTGTTAGAATTTGTTATTCAAAGTTAAATAATACAATGAATTTATTTTGGAGATAATCAACCTCCTCGGAAGAGCTATCATTAGAATCCTGCAAACAAATAGAATTTGTGTTAGAATTTGTTATTCATTGTTAATTAATATAAGTAGTAGCAATGTTAAAATTCTTACCCTTCATATTCAAACTATACATATAGAGATTCGTTAATTATTTTTTTTTTTTAATTGAAGGTTAGAAATTACATACACATACCTCGTCAGAAGAGCTGTTGTCAGAATCCTGCTAACCATTAGAATTAGTGTTAGAATTTGTTATTCATAATTTATTATTATAAGTAATAGCAATGTTAAACTTTCTTACACTTCGTAATCAAACTATATAAAGATTCATTAATTTATGTGGTTAATTTAAGTTTAGAAATTATATTTTAATTTTACATAAGCATATGAGCTAAGTCTTTCTAAAAGAAAAAACATGCAATGGAAGTGTTCAACATGCCAATATAAAATTCACATCACTGCCTTTGACCTCTATAACGAGCATGCAATTTCAAGATTTACTAGTAGCTTAAGAGCAGCACTTCAGAAATTTGACTAAACTAAAGAAAATAAAAGAAATTAATTAAACTAAACTAAAGAAAATCAAATTCATACAATAATATCGAAAATAAATATTTTAAAATGATTTATTTTGGTAGGGCTAAGTGAATTACAACACAACCTTTCCCAAAATGCTGCGCCAGCGCCAACTCCGACTCTGCAAATCATTAGAATCAAATTATCAATGTTAGATTGGAAATTATAGTTTTAATTTGAATTAAAATGTAGATCTCATTGATTTTAAATTTTCAGGGATGACGATTTCATTTTCAAGCTTAAAATTCATACACATACCTTGTCGGAACAGCTGCCGTCAGATTCCTACAAACCACGAGTATTAGTGTTAGAATTTGTTATTCATAGTTAATTAATAGAAGCAATCCAATGTTAAAATTCTTACATTTTATAATCAAACTATATAAAAATTCATTAATTAATTTGGTTAATTTAAGTTTAGAAAATATATTTTGATTTTTCATTTTTTAGGATGACTGTTTTATTTTTAATCAAACTATAGATGCAGGCAATCAAATGAGTCCAAAGATCCTCATCGAATATGTAAGAAAAAAAAAATACTTTTAAATGATTTATTTTAGAAAGTCTTATTATAGAAAGGAGAAAATGAAGGTGCCAACCCAATCCTGAAGCATAGCCATAAGAACCGTCCGATCCTGCAAACAATCAGATAGAGATTTTTTATTCACAATTAATATAAGTAGTAATAGTTAGTAATGTTAGAATACTCTTAGAATCTGCATTTGGGTAGCATTGTTAAAAAATTTAGACTTTATTTCATATCAAACTATGTAATGGTTCAGTAATTAATCCGGTCTTTAGAAAGTTTATAAATTATATTTTCAGCATTAAGATTATTAATTTAAATAAGAACACAATGATACAATGCCCCAAAATTATTAAATTGTTAGCACAAATATTGAAATTGAGATGACTAAATTATATTGAAAAAGCTAAATAATATAACTAAATTATGAATTGGAATGGTTTCTTATACATACCTTATCTCGATAGGTGAAACCATGCCATTGGCACCACTCTCTCATCCCTGGACATTCAAATACAAGTGCAAAGCCTTCTTCAAATGAAACTCTTCCCAATGAAAGATCAAAGTCTTCGTCTGGATCAGGCTTGAGTTGGCAACAATTAGCTAACTTCAAAACTTTAAGAGTGCCAAGAAGATTATTCAAGTTGATCACTGACTTGAGATTGTCACAACGATAAATTTTTATTTTTTGAAGCCTTGAAAGATGTCCCGAGCTAAAAGGAAGTGAAATATATTCAAGTCTTTCACAAGATGCCACTAAAAATTCCACAAGACTTGATGGGAAGGCTGATATTTGTTGCAGGTTTTTGCAATGAAATATGTGTAAACACTTAAGGATTGAGAAATCACCATTCTTCACCATTGGACTCTCTTTCCATTTAAGAAAACTTTTATATGTCTGATATCCAGATGAATGAAAACCCACATGGGCCTCTATAGAGTAATTCTCAAGGCAATCAAGAGGAGCATTATAATGCCAAAAATCTTGCCCCATTCTAGTTATCCCTTTATTATCAATAATTTCAAGTGACGTGAGGGATGGCAGCTTAGACAGAGGAAGAAACTTGCATTTGAAATTTCTCAACCTTATATTTGCTAAATTGGAGAAGTGAGGATTTCCAAACCAACTTGGAAAGCTACTACTATTGTAGCCATCTATGGTTAACTTTTTAAGGTTTGTGTGGGGTTGGAGGCCTTCAAGAATAGCTTTATCATTTCTTGCACATTCATCATATTTACCACAATTCCAGATAAGTGTTAGGCTCTCGACATATAGCTTACTTTGCAAATTGGCATTCTTTGCATCTTCATGATCGACCACATTTTCAAGCCCATAAAGCTTCAAACTTCTTTGTAAATTTGTTAGGGGTTTCAACCATCTAATACTAGAATATGGGCCATCTCTTCTCACGTGATATGTAGATGCAACCAATTCATTTCTTGCCTTATGATTAAAACTAAAAAAAAGGAGATTTTTACTCCCGAAATATGATTTCGGCACCAATGCTCGATTCATGCTTACAATCATCAAGTGACGTAAGTTGACAAGTTTTCCCATTGCATGGGGTAGAAAATTTATATAATTTGATTCGAGTATTAATGTTTGTAACTTGTAAAGGCCACATAATGAGTTCTCTGTCATATAGATATCCCTGACATAGATAGAGAGATAACGAAGTTGTTGTAGGTAACCTATCGAATCTATACATTCAGAGCTGCATTTAAAAGAAGGTGCATGAAATCTCAAAACACGCAAGCTGACCATATGGGATAATATAATCTTAGAACAACTATTTTGATGAAGTGCGAGGTTAGAGAAATAATGTAATCCATAAATGTAAAGTGTTCTTATATTCCCAAGAAGTAGAATTTGATCAGCCATTGCTTCTTCTATGAATATATGCTTTGCATCTTTGGGGATGTTCTTGAATTCATCAAAATCTAATAAAGAATATATCTCAGTTTTGGTTACAGATTGAGCAAAATCATGCACCATATCATGCAAAATAAATCCTTTATGTTTTGAGCATTGAAAGAATGACCTTCTCACCAAGTCTTCAAAGTATTCAACTGCAATATCTTCCCATAAAATTGTTCTTTCTGTGAGCTGAATGTAACCTTGATCGATCCACATTCTTATTAACTCTAGTTTCTCAAAGTAATGACCCTTTGGGAACAAAGATGCATAAAGAAAGCATGGTTTAAGATATGATGGCAAGTAATTATAGCTTATCCTTATTGAAGACAAAATAATTTCTTTGGGATCCCATAAATTATTGTTTAACACATCATTCCATGTTTGCTCCATAAATTCATTTCGTAGAAATCCACCAATAACTTTTAAAGCCAAAGGCAATCCACCACATTTCTCAGCAATTCTCCTCCCAATTTGTTCAAATTTTAATTGTTGATCAAGCTTCCAACCATGGAAAGCATGCCTTTGGAACAAAAACCATGACTCCTCTTCATGCAAGCATTCAAGCTGAAGTGGGGACACTGTTTGCATGATGTGAGAGACTGACATAGATCGAGTTGTTATAATAATCTTTCCCACTACTGTACTAGAAAACGAGGCTCGTAAGGCTTCCCATATATCTGCTTTCTCATTCCAGACATAATCAAGAATAAGAAGAAATTTTTTATTTAATAGAGCATCCTTGAGTTTGCATTGAAGATAATTCAAGTTATTGCAATAATTGTACTTGGATGAACCCATAATGGATGACAAAATTTCTTTTGTTATTCTCAGAACATCAAATTGTTCGGAGACACAAACCCAAACCTTTGGGCTAAAATGCTGGCAAACCTTAGGATCATTGTATACAAGTTGAGCAAGTGTCGTCTTTCCCACTCCCCCCATGCCAACAATGGGAATTACAATGTTCTCCTTCTCTGAATCAGACATTAACAATTGAAATATCTTCATCCTTTCCTTCTCCCTTCCAAAAACATCAGATTCAAGTAGAATAGAACTACTTGGTGGCCTATTTATAAAATCATTAAAATGAGGCCACCTAGGATGCCTAGGTGCATCTTTTTCACTAAGAAGAAGTGCTTTTCTATCATTTGCAATCTCATCAAATTTCTTTATGATCTCAATGATCCTCATGGCCATGTCGTAAGAAATGAGAATTTTAATTGAATTAAAGGGAGGTAGTGATACCTGAACATAGTTTTCATGCATGATCAACATATTGATAAACATATCCACTCACTTTCTAATAACTAGAATATTAATTGAATTTACGAGAGGAAGACATACCCGATAGCCAAAAAAATCAATATCATCCACTTGTTCTAGCTTTTCTTTAGCTGTTGTTGACATTCCTTCTAATTGGGTTTTTATAACTTGATAATCATATTGATCCAAAACATCTTCAGCATCATAAGCAACTTCTCTAAGCTTGCTAAGCCAGAGCTGGATAGCCTTGTCATAGATCTCCCTCTCCTCGGCATCATGAAGGACTGCTTGAATTCTTAGCAGCATCCTCGACAATCGTATAAAATCCTCCATTAATCTTTTTTGGATCCAATTAACTTTGGATAAAGTTACATCTTTATGTGCTATGGATGATGAGGAAGATGTAGCCAATGAAGTAAAGGTAGGTATAAACTGGGATAATCGTTCCAAGGAAGTCAATAGATTGGAGATGATAAAAGAAGTTGTTCCTGCCATTTCCAAACCCTTAACTAAAGAATCGATGAAGCTTCAATGAGGATTGGAGATGATTTAGAGAATATGACATAACGAATTTTGAGTAGTTAGCAGAGGCCAAGTTAAGAATAAATTTATTTTATTAGCCCATAAAAGAAAAAAAAAATCTACTAAAAAATCTTGCTTTTAAGCTTCAAATAACTTTAATGTTTAGGGGGGTGGATGGTGATGAAACATTACGATCGGCTAATAAAATATGGACTACTGAGTGGCTTTAATGAAAAGAAAGTTAATCATCATGAAAGATGGACGTAAAAATTGTATAATATAAAATAAAAAATGGTTGCGTCATGTTGAAGATGCAAATGAATGTTTTGTGGTAGGAAGATGGAATCTTTCTTCTCAACTTTAGATAATTTTAAGTCTCGCTTTTTATGTCTCCAATAAAATTTGCCCATTTGGATTAAATTTAAATATTTGAGTGAGACTTTAATGATAAGAATTTTGAATATGCTTCAAGTTGATCATATTCAAATATTAAGCCTCCACTCCAATAATGCTAAGGTTTGTTGTGATGACGAAGAAAGTTTATAATCTGACAAATGAAATATGAATAATTGAGTGACTTTAATTAAAATAGGCATAAAAATTGTATAATATAAAACTAATTGGACAAATGAAACTCACATTAAATCAAAATACAAAATATGAGAGGTCTTTCATTTTATTTATTTATTATTATTATTACTATTATTATTATTATTATTATTATTATTATTATTATTATTATTATTATTATTATTTTTTAGTAAAAAATTTATATATGATTAAAAAAATAATAAAAAAGTTCTGCCAAATGAAAGCTGCATTTCTATCAATAATTATGAAAATAAAAATTTTGAATAATATGAAATTGAACACTTCTCTCTCTCTCACATGCATTGCAGACACAGCTCATACATAAATTTTTTTTAAACAATTAGGGGATTCAAATATCAGCTGCCTGGAAGGAAAAAATTTGCTCAACCAATAAGCCGCACGCACGATCTCCATAGGTCAGACATTCTTCCCATGTGACGAAGAGTGCATTGGTACAAATGAAAGGTTTTGTAATAGAAAAATGTGATAACTTTTTTTTGGGGGAAAATTTAGGGCAAATGCCCGTATATTAATAACAAAAAAAGATTGCAAAACAACTACGGTAGGAATATTACATGTATAATAATCAACTATACCCCCGAAGCCCCAAAAAAATAGAAAGAGACCAAAAGGAAGTAAAACTTGGACTCAAGAAAAAATAAATATCAACACCCCAAAAGGCATCAGGTCGCCATTCAAGAAGAGAGAAAAGCCATAAAATTGTAGTCGAAGGAGCACTGATTGCTAAAGGCCAAAAACAAAAGGCAGCATGACCATCACAAAGCCCCAAGGAACTGAAAAACCACCATTCGACAAAACTCCTTGGTTTCCATTAGGCCATCCAAGAAAAGAATGGTATGGCGTAGACCTATGCTCATCATTATTCAGATAACCAAAATCAGCAAACTCAATCAAGAACCAATAAATTTTGCAAGTAATCTAGACAAAAAAACATCCAAAAAACTGCAGCCGGTGGAGCACTGGCTGCCACAGGCCAAGACCAAAGGTAGCAGGACCATCACAGAAGCCCCAAGGAAGAGAAAAACAACCATTCAACAAAACTCTTAGGCTACCACAAGGCCATCCAAGAAAAGAATGGTATTGTGAATACCCATGCCCATCAATGTCTAGAGTAACAAAAACATCAAAACTAACCAACAACCAAGAAATTTTGCAAGCATCAACCCAAACATTCCAAAAACAGGTCATTGATCTAATCCAAAAAAGTCCACTTCTTAGTTTTAGCACATATAACATAAATGATAGTTGCTTTAATAGCAGTCGGGCTCTCCCAGAATGTAGAAAACCTCATCTTGTTCCTTTCCCTCCAAAGATAGTAAACAACACATGTGACAGTGAAAAAATAGAAATATTTTTCCTTCCGATAAAAATGTTGTAAATTATCCAAGTAATCATAAGTTTGCAAAAGATTAGGCCTAGCCTAAGCTAAAACTTGCCAAGCAAATGGAGCAAATCGAATAGAACCGAGAAGGTGTAGTTACATTCAAAAAATAGATGGGCTTGAGATTCTTTACTACTTAGGGAAAAGGAGCAGGAGGGGAATACCGGAATTCCCCTATTAATTAAAATATTCACACATTTTAATCTTCCCAAAACTGTCATCCAAGCATAACATACAAACCTAAGAGAGTACTCCGTATGCCAACTTAAGTTACACCAATCAATATCCTCCAAATGAGAATAGAAATGAATAGTAAAATTTTTGAACGACGGGTTGGAGGAGCCATCCCAGGCCAAAGCCAGTTGCTCCAAAATATTTATATCCAAAATAGTATCCTTAACACAATCTAGAAGATAATCTGGAAGAGACCATTGCCCATTTATGATGAATTCATTTATAGAAAGATGAGATAGCCTATTGGAGTTGAAAAAATTAGATAATAGATAACCTTTGCACCATGGGTCCCAAAGAATAGATTAATTATAATTGGGAGCAATGGATAGCAGATGGAGTTTTTTATTCTCTAAGTCGTATGAAAAATCAGTTTCCAAAGTTTGGAAGAAAAGGAACGAGGCAGCTTCCAAGGGGATTCAAATTTATCTTTAGACCAATTGGCCAAATTAGTGCTAGAGTTATACATATGCTAAATAAAAGAGCAAGTCGCACTATGATAAAGAGAATCAAAAGAAGGAAGCCCTAAACCGCGTTTACATTTTGGCATAGTCACAAAATTCCAAGAAATTAGGTGCAACTTTTTTTCCTTAATATTGTCATGAAATAAAAACTTTGAGCAAAGTTTAGAGATGATTTTCTAGCAAGCTTTGGGTATTATAGACCTTCTAATCCAATAGGACAGCATATTAGTAATAGAAAACTTCAAAAACTAAATTCATCATGTAAAAAAAAGAAACTTGACTTTTTAACCCTCAAGTAGAGCAAAAATTCTGCTCGGTAGGGGTTTGAAGTGAGTGAAATTCAATCTTTTAGAAGCAATAAGAAGCCCTAGGTAATCAAGAGAGGAATCAACTTGAGAGATTCCAAGAGAGATAGTAATCTCATCAGCACTATCAACATTTTTAGAGAATATAGAGCTTTTAATCAGATTCATGAGCAGACCAGTGGAATCCAAAAATTATTGAAGAGATTTCTGTAAGCAAGCAGTATTATGCAAAGAAGCAACTCCAAAACCAGAAGGTCATCTGCATACATGAGATGTTTGAGGCAAAAAAATTATTATGATTTAGTCCCATAAAAGAGGGTTGTATTTAATTATGCAGGGAAGAGGATAACCCATCCATGAAAATGCAAAAGATCAATCAGGAGAATGGATATCCCTTATGAAGCCCTGATGAGGAATTGAAGAAAACTTCCAAAAAGCCATTAAGGCAAATAGAGAAATGAACCTCAGAAATGCAGCTCCTAATCTATTTAATAAAAAGGTTCGAGAAACCTTTTTGCTTTAATCTGTTAAGTAGGAAAACATGTGAGACTGAATCGAAGGCTTTTTTTGATATCTAGCTTGGCACAAATGAGATTTTGTGAAGCTTTAAATTCTTTGAGCACCTCATAAGCAAGGATAATATTGTCAGTAGAACACCTTTTGGCAATGAACCCCGACTGACTCTCATGAATAATAAAATGTTAGGTAATCTTAAATCTATTCACAATAAGCTTAGCAAAAATCTTATAGAAAATATTGCATAGTGATATATGCTTGAAATTAGAAATACTGGTGGCATGAGTGCCCTTAGGAATAAAGTTAATGGCAGGAGCTTTAGCTCCCTTAAAGAGGTAACCAGTTGAAAAATAATATTTAACATTATTGTATAATTGATACCTAGTAATATGCCAAGTTTGCTGATAAAAATCAGAGGAAAAACCATCTGGTCCTAGAGCTGAGGAAGAAACCGCATCAAAAACTACAACTTTAATCTCCTCAGTGGTAACTAGAACTACAATGGCATCAAGAAGGTGAGGAGGAACCATGTTGCCAACAGGAATATTGTAAAATCTCTAATTGATAGGGTTATGAACATTAAATATATCTTTGAAATGATCAATCAAAGCATTCACAATATCCTGATGAGAGGTGTGTAGACCCAAAGGAGAGGCAATTTCTATAATAGTGTTTCTATTTTTCCTAGATCTAATCTTAGCATAGAGGAAGCCAAGATCATCTTCTACATTAGAGACAGGTGGGGAGAGTACAATAATTCAAAAGTGTAAAATAATATTATTATTTTTAATTTTGAAGTTCAGAGCTATGGCGCTAAGCCACTACACACACACACACACACACACACACACACACACACACAAACACACTCACTCACTCACACTCACACTACAAAAAATATGAGATTTTTGCAGTACTTATTAATGGCAATTTTATAACTGACGCAAAGAATTGGTATGAGCAAAAAATTTCATCACTGCTAAAAGATTATAAATAACTTATGTTTTTTCACAGCTCCTTTTATTGAGGCCTCATGCCAAAAAACATAATAGAACATGAACCTTGGATATATTATTTTTCTCCTTTATTTAAATATTAGATTTAAAGTGGATTTCTTTTAATGACATACACATCATGCAGTAGTGTGCTATTGATGACTGTTTCTAGTAAGAATTTCTGAGAGAGATGATAACGATCAAAATTTAGCCATCGGTTGCATATAGTTGCTATGAAATATATATATATATATTTCAAATAATAATGATGTAGCATGTTTGGATGGTTTGAAGCTTCTCAAGCAACCACAGCTGCCATTACCAAGATAATTCATGAATGGATGTTCATAGAAAACTGCTACACTAATCTTGTTTTATGACTTCTAATATCATCAATGCCTCATCTTCTTATTGAGTCCTCATTATTTCTTCCATTTTGGAATTACTTGTATTCTTGGTGCAACACAATGTAACACAACGTGCATTGGTTGTTTGGTGTAATTTTAGTTGATAAAAAAAAATAGTTTCACCAAGAAAATTAGAATATGAACAAATTTGTCTTTATCATATCTCAATATTTCATATGGTGATGATGAAGCTTGCATCTGATTCATGCGTTGAAATTCTCTACTGAATACTTCACTTAAATCTACCTTGTAATTACTTCTTTGGTGCATGATAAGGTCCAATATTCATGTCTTCTTCTTCTTCCCTAGTGATGATTTCAACTAAATGTAATTTTTCCTTGATCGACTTCTGGTTTTGTTTCTAGTACTTTATATCTGTGATCAATGCTTATATTGTTAAGAAAGTGTAGTATTACTTTGTTTCATTTTCCTTAGCTCGGCTTAATCTCTACTAGAGATGCAATGGCTATAATATCCAACAAATGACTAACTTCTTTATAGCTTATGGACAGAACTTCTATAGCTGAATCTTCTTATTATTAGTCTACCAATGAATGAGATGTCATGGATGGTTTGGAAGACATATAAATGGATACGTAATTTTATTTTTGTTTTGGTCTTATACCTAGAGGAAGGGAAAAAGTTATTTTTCGTGTTGGGAAAAAAACTCTTTAACTGTTGATTTATATCTTGTTAATATTCATTCAATTTATATTTGTATAGTATTTTATTGATATTTATAATTTGATCACAAAATTTGATTTCTTTGATATTATATATATATATATAATCACTGCTAAAAATGTTGCTATTAAAAGCGCTGCTAAAGCCTTCCTATAATAACACTCATGAAATTGTTGCTATAGCCTTTGCAGCAAATGCAATCATAGCGGAGTTGCAGCGGTTTTTAAAATTGTTGCAAATAAATTAGTGGGTGTTTAAACTGTAGCAACAGGCCATCAAAAGTGTTGTGAATACTAATGAAGTGAAATTTAAAAAAATAGAAGAGAATGATTCTTGTAGCAAGCAATTTTCTATTTTCTAACTACTAAGAGGACATAAATTTATTTTAATTTCATATCAAAACATAAATTAAATAAATTAAAAATAGAAATTATTCTAAATTAACCATAAATATAAATATAGTACTTCTTGTGAGAGTTAGTACAATGCAAATTACAAGACAAAAAATCGATTTTAAATTCATATCAAAATATAAATAAATTAAAATGAACAAAATAAGAAGTAGAAATGGTTACAAATGATCCATGAATACATCTAGCATACTACTTATTTACAAAATCCAATTAAGTTGCTATGACTATTGTTATTGCTAAATAATAACATGTCATTAAACCTCTTTATAAAGAGGAATTATAGTCTCACTTAAGAAAATAACAACTTCCACCATACCAAAAATATTTATTTTACAACGATATATTTAGGAAAGGCTTATTATAGGAAGGACCGCAAGACTTAGTACGCTCCAATACTTCTGATTATTTGCTCTTTCAAATACTAGAAGTCTGCAAAACATTAGAATGAAAGTATTAGCATTAGAATATGTTATCCATAGTTAAAGTAGTAGCAATGTTAACATTCTTACACTTGATTTCATATCAAACTAAGGGTTCTTTATTTAATTTCATTGATTGAAGCTTACAAATTTATAAATCTCATTGATTTTAAATTCATACATGTATCACTTTCCTACAAATCTAGCATCCATATGAGCCCGCAAACCATTAGAGTTAGTGTTAGAATTTGTTATCCACATTTAATTAATATAAGTAATAGCAATGTTAAAATTCTTACAATTCATATTCAAACTATATAAAGATTTGTTAAATAATTTGGTTAATTGGTGCTTAGAACTTATAATTTGAATATTAATTAAGATATAGATCTCATTGATTTTAAATTTTCAAGGATGGCAATTTTATTTTTAAGCTTAAAACTCATAAACATACCTCATCGCACTAGTTCTTGTGTGAATCCTGCAAAGCATTAGAATTACTGTTAGAATTTGTAATTCATAGTTAATAAATACAAGTACTAGCAATGTTGAAATTCTTACACTTCATAATCAAATTATATATATATATATATATATATATATATTTTTTTTTTTTTTTTTCTCAAAACATAATATAACATTAATCAAAAGAAGGTTACAAAGTCACACAAAACAGAAGCTCAGTAAACTAACAACAATTAAGAACTAAACCTATGAGCTTAAGAACCAAAACACAAAAAAGGATAAAACCAATCCAAATAAGGGCTCAGCAATCAGCCAGAGCATCCAACATCCTCGAGACCTCGCAAGGACCATCCAGAAGATAACGAAACCGACGATTGCCACAAGGAAATCAACGAGGAGGGGAGCCCCAGCCACATCATCGCCCTGCAACAACCCACCGGAAAAACTGCAAAAATAAAGATAATCAAACCAAATCATCTTCTTTTACCTCCACGTTTCCAAAATTTCCCACGGCAATCTCCCCTCAAAGATCTCTTCGGAACCATCTTCAACTCATAATCAGACTCTGAAACAGATTCAGAACCCGAATTTTCTTCCGCGGAATTAATTAACCAGTCACATTGAAGTCCAACAACCATTTCAGACTTACTACCCAAAACATTTTGGGATTCCATTAGTTTCACAGGCACAGTAACCAAGTCTTGAGAATTAACCAACATTCCCTGCACTTCCATATTAGCATTTATTTCCCCCACCAACGAAACCAAACTATCACCATTACTCTGATTTCGAACCGCAACATCATCTTCAACCCTCAGAACCAGTCCATCTCCCTCGGTAGGAGCCGACTCCTGCAAAACAACATTAGAAACCAACCTCCCATTGTAATCCGGCTCCAGAATGTCAACCGAAATAGCCTCATTCACCGCCAAATGATCAGTTACGACAGATAAAGGAAAAAAAGGCACAGCATTTGGTGACAAAGAAGTTTCCGCCTCAACCACAACCACATTTTCCACCAGTACAGTATCCTCCATAGATTTATCCAACAAAATACCACCTGATGGCTTAATAGCCTGATCAGTATCAGAATCAACAACAGGTAGAACCGACTCCAACGCCTTCAACTCAAGCATAACATTTTCATTTTGAGCATCAACTACAACAGGTTCCTCCAACATCGGAGCTTCACAACGATTTATCGCAGTTTTAGGCACATTACAATTCGGGTGCAAAATTGGACAAGCATCCTTAGAATGTCCTAGAGAACTACAATGATTACAAAAAGTAGGAATTTCATCAAATATAACCGTTTGAATATACCCAGATTCCACAGATCCAACCCATAACTTATCCTCATGTTTCTTGGTAACATCCAACTCAACCAATATACGAGCTACCGACGGCCGCGACCCAGAAGCCGTCGCCAAGTCGGATTTGAGGGGCCGACCGAAAAGAGAGGCTAAACCAAAGAGAATTCTAGGAGTAAATAAATGGGGCCTAAGAAGAGGGAAAGAAACCCAAATCGGCACAATAGGAGAATCCAACTCAACGTCCAAATGGTGAGTCCATTTCACCACTTTCATATAACAATTTTGAACAAAATAGGATCTATGGGAAAAAATTCTGTAATAATCAAAATCATTCTCAAGTTTTATCAAAACATTCCGATTATTGAGCACAGTTACTGAAAATTCCCCAATCAACTTTAAACTAAAACAAAATTTCCGAATGGCTTCTACAGAGGGTCTCTGCCCCGGAAAACGCCCAACCAAAGAGAACTCAAAAGGTTTAGCAAGCGCCCTAATTTCATCCTCCGAAATAAACAACGCCGGCAAGCCTCGAAGGGAAGAAAAATTCAGAGCAGGAAAAGAGGATGACGAAGTACCAGAAACCGCATCCTTGAACGAAATAGGAGTCGCTATTCCGCTCAGAAAACCAGAATCGCGAATACGAGAAGCCGCCATACACGAAATCAAGAGCAAAGAGGAAAAAAAATCTCTTACCAGACGGGGAAGAAGAGGCGGCGGCTGGGACGAAAAAGCCGTAACCCTAGCAGAGCCATGATCAAATTATATATATAAGTAGTAGCAATGTTAAAATTCTTACACTTCCTAATCAAACTATATAAAGATTCATTAATTAATTTGGTTAATTTAAGTTTAGAAATTATATTTTGAATATTAATTACAACATAGATCTCATCGATTTGACATTTTTTTTATGGATAACGATTTATTTTCAGGCTTAAAATTCATACACATACCACAAATCGCGAACGCCTACGGCTTTTTGAAACCTGCAAACCAATAGAATAAGAGAAAGATTTTGTTGTTAAAGTTAATTAATATAAGTAGTAGCACTGCTAAAATAGAATAACAGTTATATCTTATGGCACATAAATAGTAATAATTAGTAATGTTAGAATACTTTAGTAATTAATATAAGTAATAGCAATGTTAAAATTCTTACGCTTCATAATAAAACTATATAAAGATTCATTAATTAAATTTGTTAATTTAAGTTTAGAAATTATATTTTGATTTTGCATTTTTTTTTTTATGATTTTTTTATTTTAAACAAATTTTTTACTACCATGCAGCCAATCAAATGAGTCCAAATTAAGATCCTCATTGAATATGTAAGGAAAAAAAATACTGTTTAAATGATTTATTTTAGAATGGCTTATTATATAAAGGAGATATGATGTGCCAACCCAATCATCAGAATAATGTTAGAGTTTTTTATTCACAATTAATTAATATAAGTAGTAATAGTTAATAATGTTAGAATACTGTTAGAATCTACATTTGAGTTTTTTTTTATACAGAATTAATGTAATTAGTAGTTTAGGAAGCATGTTTAAAATTCTTGCACTTTATTTCATATCAAACTAAGGGTTCAATAATTAATTTGGATTTTAGAAAGTTTATAAATTATATTTTGACTATTAAGATTGTTAATTTAATTCAGAAAAAAAATGATAGTGCCCCAAAAGTAATTAAATTGTTAGCACAAATATTGAAATTGAGATGACTAAATTATATTGAAATAGTTGAATTAATATGACTAAATTATGCATTGAAATGATTTCTTATACGTACCTTATCTGGATAAGTGAAACCATGCCATTGGCACCACTCTCTCATCCCTGGACATTCAAATACAAGTGCAAAACCTTCTTCAAATGAAACTCTCCCAAATGAATGATCAAAGTCTTCGTTTGAAGCAGGCTCGAGCTGACTACAATTAACTAACTTCAAAACTTTAAGAGTGCCAAGAAGAGTGTTCAAGTTGATCACTGACTTGAGATTGTCACAATGATAAATTTTCACTTTTTGAAGCCTGGAAAGATGTTCTGTGCTACAAGGAAGTGCAATATATTCAAGACTTTTGCAGGATTGAACATAAATTATCTCAAGACTTGATGGGAAGGTTGATATTTGTTGCAGGTTTTTGCAAGAAAATATGTGTAAACACTTGAGGCTTGAGAAATATCCATTCTTCACCATTGGACACTCTTTTCTTTCAAGTAAGCTTTTATTTGTCAGATATTCAGATGAATGAAAACCCACATGAGCCTTTGTAGAGTAATTCTCAGGGCAATCATGAGAGGCATTATAACACCAAAAATCTTCCCCTATTCTAGTTATCCCGTCATTATCAATAATTTTAAGTGATGTGAGAGATGGTAGCTTAGACAGAGGAAGAAACTTGCATTCTTCATTGCTGTAGAAATTTGTCAACCTTATTTTTGTTAAATTGGAGAACTTGGGATTTCCAAACCAACTTGGGAAGCTGCTACTATTGTAGCCTTTTATGGTTAACTCTTTAAGGTTTGTGTGGGGTTGGAGGCCTTCAAGAATAGATTTGTCATTCCTTGCACATTCATCATCACATTTCCAGATAAGTGTTAGGCTCTCGACATATGGCTTACTTTGCAAATCGGCATTCTTTGCATCTTCATGATCAACCACATTTCCAAGCCCATAAAGCTCTAGACTTCTTTGTAAATTTGTTAGGGGTTTCAACCATCTAATGCTAGAATATAGGCCATCTCTTTTTATGTGATACGTTGATGCATCAAATTTATTTCTTGCCTCATTAAAACTAAAAGAAATGAGATTTTTACTCCCGAAATACGATTTCGGCACCAATGCTCGATTCTTGCTTCTAATCATCAAGTGACGTAAATTGATAAGTTTTTCCATTGCATGGGGTAGCATATTTATATAATTTGATTTGAGTATTAGTGTTTGTAACTTGTAAAGGCTGCATAATGAGGTCTCTGTCATATGAATTTTCTGTGCATCAATAGAGAGATAACGAAGTTGTTGCAGGTAGCCTATTGAATCTATGCATTCAGAGCTGCATTCAAGATAACGTACATGTAATCTCAAAACACGCAAGCAACCCATATGAGAGAATTTAATCTGAGACCATCTATTTTGATGATGTGCCACCATAGAGAAATGATGTGATCCATAAATGTAAAGTGTTCTTATATTCCCAAGTGAAAGAATTTGATCGGCCATTTCATCTTCTATGAATATATGCTTCACATATTTGGGGATGTTCCTCAATTCATCAAAATCTAATGAAGAACATATCTCCTTTCTAGTTATTGTGGGTCTCCGAAAGGATTCCGCTCGTGTGGTTCGAATGCAAAGGGTACGATCACACTATCCCTGATATCAACAACTGGCATATATCGAGTTGTTATAATAATCTTTCCCATTCCAGTACCATAAAAGGGTGCTTGGAAGGCCTCCCACAAATCTAATCTCTTGTTCCAAATATCATCAAGGACAATAAGATATTTTTTATCAAATAGAGTCTTCTTGAGTAGACAATGAAGATCATTTAAGTTATAAATATCATTGTGTCTGGATGAACCCAAAATAGATGTCACAATTTGTTGTGTTATTCTTAGAACATCAAATTCTTCAGAGACATGCACCCACACCTTCCAGTAAAAATATTGGCATACCACAGGATTATTGTATACGAGTTGAGCAAGTGTTGTCTTTCCCACACCCCCCATGCCGACAATGGGAATTACAATGTTGTCTGCCTCTGCATGAGACATTAACAATTGAATTATCTTTCTCTTTTCATCCTCCCTTGCAATAACATCATATTCAAGCTGAAGAGAACTTGTTGGTGACCTCTTTATAACATTATTGGAAGGAGGCCTCCTTTGTGCTTCTTTTTCACTAAGATGAAGAACTTTTCTATCATGTGCAATCTCATCAAATTTCTTTATGATCTCAATGATGCTCTTGGTCATGTCGCATGAAATGGGAATTTTCATTGAATTAGAGGGAGGTAGTGACACCTAATAATAGTTTTCATGCATAATCAACATATTGATAAACATATCCACTCACTTTCTAATAACTAGAATTTTAATTGAATTTAGGAGTGGAAGTGGAAGACATACCTGGCAGCCATAAATATCATCATCATCTACTCGTTTCCTCTTTAGAGAAGGCTCTGCTTCAACTACTGCTCTGATAATTTGATAATCATATTGATCCAAGACATCTTCAACATCATAAGCAACTTCTCTAAGCTCGCTGAGCCACAACTGGGTGGCGTTCTCATTGATCTCCCTCTCCTTGGCATCATGAAGGACTGCTTGAATTCTTTGTAGCATTCTCGACAATCGGCTCAAATCCTCCGTTAATCTTTCTCGATTCGAATTAACTTGGGCAATAGTAACATCTTCTTGTGCTATGGATGATGAGGAAGATGCAATAGTAGTGTTAGGCATAATGTGGTATAATTGTTTCAAGGAAGTCAATAGGCTGGAGATGATCAAAGAAGTTGTTCCTGCCATTTGCAAACCCTTAACTAAAGAATCAATGAAGCTTCAATGAGGATTGGAGATGATTTCGAGAAGATGACATAATGAATGTTGAGTGGTTAGGAGAGGTCAAGTTAAGAATAAATTTATTTTATTTGAAAAAAAAAAGATTAAATTTATTAAATATGTCAAATCCACACAAAAAATTACTTTAAACCTCCAATAACTTCAATGTTTAGTGGGATGGATAATGATGAAAGTTCGTAATAGGACCAATGAAATATGAAGAATTGAGTGGCTTTAATGAAAAGAAAGTTAATTATCATGAAAAGATGGACTTAAAAATTGTATAATATAAAATAAAAAAAAGGTTACATCATGTTGAAGATGCAAATGAATGTTTTGTGGTAGGAAGATGGAATCTTTCTTCTAAACTTTCAATAATTGTAAGTCTCGCTTTTTAAGTCTCCAATAAAATTTGCCCATTTGGATGTCATTACTCAAAAATATAAACATATAACAAGAACAGGTAAAGAGTCCGTAAAAATAAAATATCATTAAAATATTATATTAAATGTCTTATATTATTTGTATTATATTATATTAAATAAGTTTGAATGCTTAAAGTTATGCCAATAATTTTTATTAATTTTAAACCTGAAGCAATAGCGATGATAATTCTTGTTTTTAAGCCTATTATAATGTAGATGATAACAAAATCATGAAAGGACCCACTAAGGCATTGACTTCATTTCCATCCATAATTTCTAAAACAAAAATTTACAACACTTGTTCCTCTCACATGTATTGCAGACACAGCTCGTACAAAAGCTCCTTTCCTTCCATATGAGTTACAGTGCATTGGTACAAATGAAAATCGATAAGACTAAGTGTCCAATAGTTTTGATGGTAGGTAATAAACAAGGAGAGCACTTGGCCAGTAGTGGTGTGAAAATTTAACACGATCAAAAATTTGACCTGAACTTGATTCAAAAAAATTTGGATTTGGGTCAACCCATTTGCCATATGGGTCAGGGTTGGGTTCGGGTTCAAGGTTCCAACCCGTTTAAAAATCGGGTCGGGTTTGGGTTGACCTGGCAACTCGAAATCAACCTGAATTTGACCCGTGAAAGCCCTCCGACGGTCCAACCTCTGTGTTCGTTGTTCTGCTTTGCAACTCGACTCTCTCGAGTGTTCAACCCTGCTAGCCCTCGCTCCGCAATCCCGTATGACTCGGCCTTGCCCGTCTAACTCGTAGTCCCGTTGTCCCACACTCCCACACTGGCTACACGCCTGAACCAGAGCTAGATGCCTGGACATGGCCTCGTGCAATCACGTCCTCTCCTAGATGTGCGGTCACCATGATCCTCGTTGGCCCTCACCCACAGAATGCAATTCAGTCTTTGACTGCGCAGGTATCTCCCTCGTGGGCCTCACCCTCGCCCCGCAAGCCTAGTGGCTTGCCTTGAGGATCGATCCTTGCTCCGCAATATGCCTTCCGTCCCCTGGTTTGGATTTTGTAAACGGGTCGTGGGTCGGGTCGGGTTAACCCGGTAAACCTTACGGGTCGCATTCGAGTTATAAGTCCGAACCTGTTTATAAAATCAGGTCGGGTTCGGGTTGACCGGTTTAAACCCGGGTCAACTCGAGTTCGACTCAAACCTAACCCGTTGACCCATATTGTTGATACCCCTATTTGTTAGCTTCCTTCTCTCACATTCATTGCTGACACGCCTCTTACAGAGACAAATATAGAGAGAGAGAGAGAAAAAAAAAACATTAAGCTTTTCGTAAGAAATAATGAACGCATCAAAACGAACATAAATTCATAAACTCTAGCACAACATAAATGAGATATATGTATTATTAGAAATTATTACGGGGTAGAATATACGTGGCAGTGGAGTGAGAAAATAAAGCATCTTAGTAATATATGTATATCCAACACACTAAAAGATAGTTTAGAGAGAGAGATAAACATCAAAATTTTTTTACGTGAAAAACTCGAAAAGGGAAATATCAGGGGGCCTGTCCTAGATGAAAAAGTTCCACAAAGTTTGAATGAATTACAATGCTTAATTCACACATTTACTTGGAGATGGTTGAAATATATGTAATAACTCGTATTTTGACTTTTTAATTTTTTTTCTAGAGTCATTATAACTCCAAATCATAAATCATCATTGTCATGGCATTTTGATTGAAGTATTTTACTTACACAAAATTTTTTGTAATTTTTGGGCACCGGTCAAAATACTTGAGGAATTTGTACATGTTGGTACAAGTGAAGATTTCGAGAGCTTTATAAGTCCGTTTTGCAAACCAATTTTGCCAATATTTTTAAAATAATATAATTTATTTATAGATTATTTTCTATAATTTTTTAAGTTCAAAAATGATTTATTTGAATTTTAAACTAAAGAATTAACTTAATTAAATATTATATTAATATTATAATATTATTTTATTATAATATCTAAAGTCGCTATTCATTTTAAAAGTTTTTCCCTATGCTTCAGTTGGCAACAGAGAATATTTTATGGATTTTGAGAGAAAATGTGAGGAGAGAGAATTTAGAAGGTTGGATTTGGAGGCGGTAATGTAATTTTTGTCCATCGAGCCAGTTGAGAGATTTACTCATCTCATTACAAGGAATCCAAATCCTATTTTTGATTTCAAAGATTTTATATTTTTGATATTTTTTCGCATAATGTTGTATTTTTATTACCGAAAAATATAAATAACTTTGTAATGATAGAACTTTTACTACGCAACTTTTTGTATGTTATAGAGATCATGATTATGAGTATTTTGAGTATTTATTTAAGATTTTTTTTATCAGATAATTTTGAAAATATAGCGATTTTTGTCTAACCCAAAATTTATTTTAATGTCTAAAAATAGTAGTGTAGTAATGAAAGTTTTAAAATATTATTTTATACAATCCTTAGTATTTTATTAATTTTTTAAAAAATGTATTTTTGCCAAATATAATTCTTTGTTGTATAACGTTATGACATTTTGAAATCTTGTAAGCTCAATTATGCATTATTTATTGTAATGCTTTGAAAATGGATGTGAATATGTGCTTGAGTAATAGCTGGTCGCTATTACTGTTATAATATTGTGATAATAATATACGGGTGTGAAATAAATAAGTAAAGATTAGTTGACCTATTTTTTGGAGATTGATTTACTTATTCATGATGGTGGGCCGACAGGCTTTTCTTTAAATATTGTGGTTTGATGTTATCCTCTCTTAATTCACGTGATATACCGATTAAGAATTATAAGGAGATTATTACTGTGCCGACGGACAAAGGATGACGACTTTATTTACTAAGCCAATGGTTTAGTAACACTGAAAAATACTGTGATAACCAGGGCTTCTACTTATTTAGTATGACTGCTGAAATTGCTTGTTCTTGAAGCATTATTCTTATTATTGTACAAATTTGTTGTCACTGTATTAATTTATTATTATTGCATTATTCTATTCCCCATATCATTGGATTGTTACTATTACTGATATAAATACTGATAATATTTGATACAACTGATTCACTATATCGATATTTTACATGTGATATAGGAGATTTAGATAGTTGTATACATTCCTATATGAGTTTACTATATTGATTTGATTTTAAAGACTGATATTTTGATTTGATACTTTATCCAATTTCTTTATTGATTGATATTACTGATACGATAGTTGATTTATGGATTTGACACTCATATTAATTTACTAGCTTTTATATTGTTGTATTTTATTGTTTACAGAATTATTACTACTACATATGAATTTTATTATTTTTGCACTAATTCAATGATCATATGAATGCAACTTTTATAATTTGATTGTAAATAAGCATATTGCTCTTTTACTGTACTTTGAATTCATTTGTAGGTTTTGATGACATGTTGGGCTTTTTAAGCTTATTATGTGCGATTAAATGATTTCAGGTTATGGCAGAGGAGCAGGAGTGTGAGGCAGATCAGGATTTCTTCAAGTTCTGTTTCTTTTTATTATAGTCCTGAGTTGTGCATATAATTTTTTGGAATGAATACAGATGCGTACATTGATGTTTTAAATTATAAAATCTATTTTATTATTTATTACTGATAGATGATATTAGATAGATTTGGTTGTTGCTTCTTAAAAGATTAAATGAATAGATTCTAGAGCATCATAATATAATAGATTAAAAAAAATAGGTAGAAGTACTTTTGGAAATGGTTGACAAACGTGCGGAAGTTTGGCAATGATTGACAAACAGGCAGAAGTCTGACATTGATTTGGAAGAAATCCCAGCAGTGATTGATGAACAGGCAGAAGTCCAATGGTAAGTGGGAGGTGGTTGATGAATGGGTGGAAGTTTAATAATAATCGATGAAGTCCACTTAAAACTGTCTTGTAATCTTTTTGCCTACTAATCTTCGTGTTAACTGAAGGGAGAGTGAAGGAGAGAGTGTGAGAGAGTGTTTGAAGGAGGATTCTTACTACTGGAGCGTGAAGGATTCACTTGGTACTCAAAGGTAAGAATCTCCAATTGTGATTTGTGATTACTTCACTCTTTTCTCTCGTCCTTCTAGATTTCTTATGAAAAGATCTG